GACATCAATATCTGTTTCAAATTTCTACTTACAAATTTCAATATTTTAGTAATGTATATTTCTTTTATGTTTATTTATCATTCATGTATTTACTATCAATATATTATTGTATTAGTTTTTAATGAATCCATTGAACAACTATTAAATTAATCAAAGACAAGAATAGTTTATGATTGAGATCATGAACCGATTGATGTTAGACCACCATTGAAAACCTGGAAGCACTGGACGGCCTTTTTGTTCTATTGTGGGACTCCTCAACACTGCCCATCCACGATCTCACTCGTGGGATTCGAACCCAGGGCCTTCAGTCTTGCGCTCGAACGCTTAACCTACTGGACCACTAAGCCGGTATACAATGGTGTTAATGTCTAACCAAAACAAACAGTTTTCGAGGAATTTTTTGTCTTTGCTTTTGTTCTTAAGGACAGTAGCACTTCTTACTGATACTATAAACTATACATAATAACATTATTAGTAATCATCATAATACATTGATCAAGTTAGAATTGTAAGAGTATTAGTTAGCAACTAGTATACATGACCTGGATAGTTCGTTTTGTTTTGTTTACTTACTTTATTATGCACGCGTAAATGTTATAGATTCCTGTTGGTTTTCTATCACATTGTCAACAAATCATTAAGCTTTTCTTTTTTAATACAACTAACTATTGTCCTCATAATCAGTAATGATTATACTGAAGGTTATAATATAAGGAAGCCTTGGTCATTATTGGTTACTAATGTTAAAAGCATTGTAATAATAATCATAGATGATAAACATCTATTTGTTTATTTATCTTTAGTTAAATAAAAACGTTTGTTTATATGTTTTATTAATCTGAAAATGTTTGATCTATCTCCATTGGAAATTAATGGTTTGTATCATATAAAATGGTTTAGTTGAAAGGTATACTGAATGAATGATTGATTTTAACTAGATTACTGTTGAAAATCGAGTGTGTGTGTGTTCCGTTATATTATAAGACTTTATAACGATGTGGCACTCATAGTTATACCAAGAATAAATACAATGGTCATGAGGCTTTATGGCTATTGTGTTACATTTAAACCATTGAATAGCTTTTCAAAAGTACTAATTTTCATTTGTTAATTCCAGTTTAATTCATTTTTATATTGATTGTTTGAATCGTTCCATTGATGTTTAAGACTGCAATTGATCAGTCTCTTATTATTGGCATATGTGCATCCTGTACGGATTGTCTCGATATTTTCTTCATTCATAAGTATTGTAAGCAAAGATAGATATTAGCTAACAGTGGAATCCAGGACTCGTCAGTACAAGTTATTTGTGCTTTATTGATTACTGTCAAATGACTATCTCATTCGTGGTTGTGTTACACATTATGGGTTAACTTAATCTAGACATGTATGAAATTCCAGGGTAGTGGTACATTACTCTACGAGGCGTGAAATTTCTCGATTTATTCTCTACCATGGTTCTAGTTGTACATTCCTGTGGATTTCTGTTCTAATATAAAACAACTATCTACTAATCCCTGGTATATAGCAGCTGGGTAGCTAGGGTTAATCCATAATACATACTTTGCTTAGCTTAAACTATCATCATAAATGAATTGATTTCTCGGTACGTTATTTCGATTGTTTGTTCTTGAGGCCTAAAGGGGTTTTTAGGTTGTCAACAGCCACTTTTTATAATACCGCTAATTGCTGATGTCATACATTTAACATTTTTATCAGTATAGGTTTTCGATTGAGATCATGAACCGATTGATGTTAGACCACCGTTGGAAACCTGGAAGCGATGGACGGTCGTTTCGCCCTATTGCGCGACTCCTCAGCAGTGCGCATCCACGATACCGCTCGTGGGATTCGGACGCATAACCTATCAGTCTCGAGCGTCAGCGCTTAACCACTAAACCACTGAGCTGGCCAGTATCCAACAGTGTTAATACTTAACTTTAACCAATCCATGAAATCGAGCGACACATTCACCATTGTCTTCAATGAGCTACTATCTCACAAGTGTCTTAATCACTGCTTCTCACTAGAATTTCAGATTTTCGATTGTAGTCTAGCTTCAATTGACTCATGGTATCGACTATTGAAATATAAATATATTTGAAGATAATCGCACAATTTTGAGGATTAATTTAAGGTAGACATTAACACCGTTGGATACCGGCTCAGTGATCTAAAATTTAGGCGTTCTCATATAAGACCTAAAGTCCTAGTTTCAATTCCCTTGTTCAGAGTTGTGGATACACACTGCCAATGAGTTTCATTCTAGGATAAAATAGCCATTCAGTCAGTTAGCTACAACGTAGGACCAGGCACATATATGCATCAGTCCAAGTTGTCACACCTCCATTAGCACAAGAACATGAACACCGGATTCATAGGACCAGTTACTTCAATTTTAGTAATATATAAAAGGAACATTGTGTACAAGGATATGATACAGGAAGAACAAAAGATATGAAGTGATTTTTATATCATAGTATAAAGGAAGACATAGAGTGTGTACACCTACACCATTGTGATCGATTCTGAGCTATGCCATCTAGTCTCCAACCATTGATCACGATAGTCACGTGAACCCTAACCAAATAGTTTGCATCTACCGCCATGACTCAGACTATAAGTTGATGACTTCAAGCATTGATGCCATATTTTGGTTTAGCCACCCTCTCACTTTCTTTCAACCATCCCTAACACTAATTAACCATTCAATACTTTTAGATTTTCAATAATAGTCAGTCAGTCAGTAATAACTTAAATCAATTTCAACATTTAACCATGTTAACTGATTCCAACTTTCTCAAAAAAAAAAAAATAAACAAGACAAAAGAAAAAGAATCAAAATGACAAATCATGCTGTTCTAAAATAGTAATTTTATGTCATACAATAATGAATTGTTAGTTAAGGAATGTTTACATAAAGGAATGAATGAAGGAATGGTAATTCATAAACAATCTCATTCATAAATAATCAAAGTTAACTTGATACAATTACAATTCATAAAACCCTACTCTTATAAATATATATATTTTCTTTATTAAAAGATTCATGTATTATTCTGTTTAACTCCATTAACTAAATCTTGTTTTTGTCTACATTCAAAACTTGAAGCTAGACTACTAATGGGAATATCTGGAAGCATTGGATGGTTGTTTTATTCAACTATGTGATTTAGAGATTAGGCGTTCGCTTACGATATTGTATAGGTTTTTGATTTGAACCTTACAAGACGGGATCGTGGATGTGGATTGCTGAGGAGTTTCATAATAGGATGAAACGGTCAACCAGTTTTTTTTTTATGGTGGTCTAGCTTCAACTGACTTATGATTTCAACTGTTGAAATTACTACAAAAATCCATTCAGATACAAATATTTATTTATTTAAACTCATAAACATGAGTACAAGGAGGTACCCAATACATATGCGCGACATAGTTTGTTCAATTTGTGTGAGGGCTGAGATACTGTCCAGGTGCCCAAACCGAAGCAGGTGGACTTCTTAGGGACTACACCCAGAGCCTTCGTTCTAAAGATCTGATCTACAAGTTAGGAGAGCAACGTAAGGAGATACAGTCCCATGGTAGTCGGTGACCATTGATTGGTTCATACGCCATTTGATGCTTCAGGATACTGGAGTCCATGTGCACCATTGGTTTGTAATCAGGGTTTTTCAACTCTCTTATCTAGATCCTCCATATCCACTAACCCGGTTAGAGCATTAAACATTTGCTTTTTGTCCTCTTAGTTTTGTAAACAACACCCCCACCACGAGAAGACAGTGAGTAGGAATTTCCTGTCAGTGACTGTATACGTGTGGCCATGTCAGAGCGTTTCGAGAGGTAGAGCTGACTCTTCCCACCCCCGATTCACCAGGGCATTTGGCGACAAGCTTTAAGTTGCAATGACACCAAGTCATAGTGTAGATTTTGACCTACTACTTAGATATATAGGTAAACGAAATTGAACAATTTAATGTTGAAGCCTACTGCCGCTACACTAGTTGTCTTCATCTGGATTTGTTCATGTGTGTGGGATAGAAGTGCTTGGTCTTTGCGAAGTCCATTCATCCAGTTCCATCCAACCTGTCCATAATCCACCACCAGAAGAAAGAAAAAGAGGGAGAGTACGCAGCCTTGTCTCACTCCGGTTCTCACTTGGAATGCGTCTGTCAGCTATCCTCTATGCACCACTTTGCAGTGTAGTTCATTGTATGAATTCCGAATGATGTTGACGATTTTCTCAGGTACACCATGGTGTTGAAGAAGGTTCCATAAAGTCATTCTATGCATACCGTCAAACGCTTTCTCACAGTCAACGATGTTGATGTGTAGTGACAAGTTCCACTCAATTAATTGTTCAACGATGATCCATAGTGTCGCGATTTGTTCTGTGCACGACCGACCCATATGGAATCTAGCTTGTTGATTTTGAAGGTAAGCGTCTACTGAGTCTTTCACCCGGTTCAGTAACACTGTTAAAAACTTTCTGTGGTATCGATACTGCTGTTATGTCTCTTTAGTTTCCACATTTGCTCAGATCTCCTTTGTCTGGTATCTTGATGAGGTATTGTTCTTCGACATAAGGGAAGAATGTCTTACTATTTGTTTTCGTTTGGCTCCAGTGCATACCCTTTGAATATATCTACATACAGAACTACACATGCCACAACTCATGCAATTCATATGTATATGCATACACAATGGGCATCCTCTTTACGATGCCTCGAAGTAGGGTCTGCGCGAATCCAGGTTACAATAGAATAGTAGATTAGTTTGATCTCCACCGATCACCTAAGTTAGCTAATAAGGTGGCCCCCACATAGAAACCCTAGGTCAGATTTCACTGCCTTATTCAATTGTACTAAGAACAACACTCAAGATGAAATCGTTGTGTTTGTTTGAAACAATTTGAAGATTTCTAGTATTCCTCAATTGCGTTGATACGTTTAATCAAAAGTCTTATTAAAATTTACTTCCACGAATTATTTATTCTATAGACAAGAAAAACAGTACATCATTGATCAATGGCAATATCTTCGTCCAGGAGATTTTGTTCGTTTACATACTAATGATATAATTCCAGCTGATATTTTATTATTAGCTACATCAAATAGTACTGGGATTTGTCATATTGAAACATCAAATTTAGACGGTGAATCTAATTTAAAACAACGTGAAATTATTTCTAACTTGTCGAATAAAGTAAGTTAAAAATAAACCATTTAGATATAGATTTAATTTGCAATTACCAATTCTATTAACTAAACTTAATGTAAGTTAGTTTTTTAAGTATGAGACTGATCAATTGTAGTCCTAAATAACAATGGGAAGATACAAGCAAGTGGCTATCATGACTCAGTAGCTATGTGGATAACACGATGAAGTTGGAAGCGAACGGTACATCCAATTGATGAGTCCAAAATAGGACGAAGTCTCGCACATTCTGGATTCTACTGCTAACCACTATCCATCTTTACTTAAAAATAACTTGTGACTTAAGGCTATATCGAGGCAATCCGCACAGTCTTCACATATGCCAACAAGAGACTGATCAATTGCAATCCTAAATAACAGTGGGAAGATACAAGTAAAACAACACGAAGTGAATTTGGGTTATTGTTTTGCAAGGCTGTATGAAGGAATTTAATAGTTACATCAAATGTTATCATAAGTTTCTAACGTTTGAGTTTCATGTGGGGTTAGTAAGATAACTGTAGGTTAGTGTAAAATATCTTCTCCTTTGAATGGAAATTGTTACTTTAGGAATGGGCTGCATCAACACTTAAACGAAGGATAGGGAGTGAATTAGTCGAACGCGTTGACAACTTCACTTATCTTGGAAGTTTGATCAGCCTTAATGGGTTGGTGTCTGACCAAATCTCTATACGGGTTCAAAAAGCTTGTTTGGCTCTTTCAATATACGTAACCAATGAAGAAGGCGAGATCTCCGTCTATCAACCAAAGAACGAGTATACTGCGCTTCAGTTCGTTCTGTTCTACTTTGCGGCTGCGAATCGTGGCCGTTAGTAGTAGAAGATATTCGTAAGATACTAGTATTTGATCACAGATGCTTTAGAAATATTGCTGGCATCTGCTGGGACTATCGGGTAAGTAATAGTGAGGTTAGACGCAGAGTATTGTGTAATGATGGTAAATCAGTTGATGAGGTTGTGAATCTTCATCGAGTGAGATGGTTGGGCCACGTGTTACGTATGCCTGAACGCCGATTACCACGACACACAGTGCTGACTAGTGTTGGAGACGAATGAAAGAAAGTTAGGGGCGGCCAAACCAAAATGTGGCATCAGTGCTTGAAGTCACTAACTTCCAGTCTGAGTCATGTTGGGAGATGCAGACTACTTGGTTGGGGTCCTCGTGACTATCGTAACCAATTGTTGGAGACTCTAGATGGCACAGCTGAGAATCGATCACAATGGCGTAGGTGTATACACTCTTTGTCTTTCATTAAACCGTTCGATTCTAATTGTCCTTTCCTTCTACCAACTAATTCTTTCTCCTTGTATCATATCCTAACATTTATTTATTCATGATAACAATCTAAACTCAATAATCTCCACAATCATATACTGATATTTATGAATTATCATTTGAATTCATCTATATTACAATGAGTGTTCTGGATTATGCAATCTGTCATCAAATAATGCTCATTATTACAATAAGTAACCTAGTGTATTGTGTTAATAATAATGAAATCATAGTAGATTTAAACTGACGAATCCTGACTATTTCCACGTCTAATTCCCCCCTAAGTATTTCAGCAAGTATATCAAGAAATTTGTTTAAAACTAACATCTCTCATTGATGATTTATCATGATAGTTTTATGTAAACAGTAAATTGTTATTAGTCATATATATATCAGAAGGGGAAAGTGGATGCACACTACTGAGGAGTCCCACAATAGGATGAAACAACCGTCTAGTGCTTCCAGGTTTTCCATGGTGGTCTAGCTTCAATCGACTCATGATCTCAACTGTTGAAAGTCATATATATCTTAATTTATTTTTTTATTTACTTCCAAGGATGAATTTTCACCACTGACATTTCTTTATCCAATTGAAGTAGAAGCTCCAAGTGCTGAATTATATAAATTCCATGGGAAAATGTAAGTTATTATCATATTAATCTAACTTGATATTTGTTGTAATAATAGTTAGACAGTTCAGTTTATAACCAAGGATTTTATCTGTTTCATCAATTTGATATTCTTTAATGAGTTTACTTTATTAGAAGGTGAATTATTCACTTATTGTTTGAGATCAATCTGATGACATCAGTGTAGGTTGACGAAAAAAAATAGGGTAATTAATGTATTTAGGTAATTGAGATGGTGGAGAAAGTTTGTAGCTCATATGGATGATTTTGATGAGGTTTCATTCTTTGAGCTGGATGGTTTGGTTGTGGAGCTTTCATTGTTCGTCTGAACGACATCATCAGCACAAACTTCAGGTAGAAGTCAACAGTATATTTGTATAAGTACTAGTGTATTTCCATTATCTATTTTAAAGCTTTTCATACTTCAAATTAATGTGATTTAGATATACAATGTGTGATTGATGACTGACTCGTAGCTTAACTATATAACATTACAAACTGTCAAGAATAAGATTTTAAAACCGATGAGGACAAAAGTAAGTTGAAGTCGTATTTTGAAAACAAAAAACCAATAGAAGAGTAATTTCCAGTTCACTGACTTTAAAGTCATTTATTTTTAACGAGAAATTTAGCATATGAACAGGAGTATGAAAATGTTTCACTCATTAAATACCATAATACATCTGTAGTTTTTGATCCAGATCATGAAACAATTGATATTTGACCACCATTAAAAATCTGGAAGCACTGGACGGTTGTTTCATCCTATTGTGGGACTCCTCAGTAGTGTGCATCCACTATCCCACGGCCGTCCAGTGCTTCCAGGTTTTCAATGGTGGTCTGACATCAATCGGTTCATGATCTTAATCAAAAACTGAACAATTTCCACAACCCTATACTGATCTGTAGTTTTAACTAAGAAATAAGGTTCCTTATTGATATGTTGGGAATGTTAGATCCCTAGAACGCACTTGGTAAAGGCCTTATATTGGTAATGCTCTTTTAAAAATCTGAATATCTTGTTTTCGTGCCAAAAAAACGCTCATTTTCACCTTCATTTCGTATTTCCTACTTGGGAGGATCTTAAACGCCATTGGTTCGTTGTATCTTTTAGTATGCTATTTTGTAACACTTCCCAAGGACATTCTTATGCTGTGCATATTCGCTTGATTTGTGCTTGTTGTTAGTGCTTCTGGTTGCTTGTGGAATATATCTGCCTATTTGAACGTGGATTTCTCACTCTAGTTAGCGGGGCTGGGGTGCGTCGGAATAGCTAGCTTATCTGTTATTGTGTCACAGAGTCTTCATTCCGTTCTCAGATTAGGTGAATTCGTAATCTCCTCAAACATAGCATGATATACGTTCAGTGTTCTTATGAATATAATTATGTTTTTTCCTTCTTTTGTCCTTGAAACGATGAATGAACACTTTACTCAATTTATCGAATTTGGTTGGAAGAAAGATAGGGGCTGCCAGACCAAAACATGGTACAAATTCATGAAGTCGCTGACAAGTGGACTGAGTCATGTTGATAGGTGTAGACTACCTGACTGGGGACCGCAAAACGATAGCAACCGATGGTTAGAGACCTTGAATGAAATGGCTCAAAATAGTTTGCAATGGTGCAGGTGCATCCACTCTTTGAGTTCTCCTAAATTCTAACCTCCTGAATCCTTCTTGTCTCTTTTTTCTCTTTCCAAATTTATTTCACTGGATTATACTTATTGAATAACATCTTCAAACCCTAATCTTTACGATTACTACTTATACGCTATTGCGATCATGAACCGATTTAAGTTAGACTAACATTTCAAACCTGGAAACACTGGACGGCCGTTTCGTCGTAGTATGGAACTCTTCAGCAGTGAGCATCAACTACTCATTGGTCTAGAAGTTAAGCGTTCGCGCACGAAACCGAAGAACCGGGGTTTGATTCCCGTGCGTATTGCTGAGGAGTCCCATACTCGACCGAAACGGGCATGTAGTGCTCCCATGTTTTGAATAGTGGTTTAACTTAAATCAATTCATGATCTCAGTGCATATTTTACATACTTTGATGAATGAGTTTGATTTTGAAACTCCAAAGGGAAGCATAGTGACCAAGAGAATGATTAACATATTCAACACAGTAATTAAGATTGTTTGTCATGTATATGCTCTAGTACGACCGAGGAGGGGTAGAGTCAGCTCTCACTCTCGAAATACTCTTACATGGCTACACGTATACAGCCACTATCAGTGAATTCCTATTCACTGCCTTCTCGTGATGGTGATGTTGTTTGAAAAATTGAGAGGACGAAAAGCGAATATCCGGTGAGAGTTCACCTACGTGAGTTGGAAAACTCTCATTCCAAACCAATGATGCACATGGGCCCCAGTATTCTGAAACATCAAATGGCGTATGAACCTACTGTTGGTCACCGGCTACCATGGAACTACCTCTCCTAACGTTGCTACACTGACTTGTAGATCAGACATTTAGGTCGAAGTTTCCAGATGCGTCTCGCTATGAAAACCACCTGCTTCGATCTGGGTACATGGACAGTATCTCAGCCCCCACACAAATCGAATGACGAAGTGTGGCACATATTTATTTGTTGCCTCCTTGTACTAATGTTTATATGTTTAAATAAATAAACATATTTATTAACTCATTTTCATTTGCTTAATTTTATTATATTTCAATCAGTGTAACATTAATAGCAATTTGCTTCTATGTAATATGTATAGAATGTAAATATCTTAACTAGTGTCTTTTTATTTGTTCTACTATGATTTTCTTTTCAAGTATACTACCAGAAATACGTATTCCTATTCACAAGAATAATATGTTACTAAGAGGTTGTGTATTACGTAATACGGACTATGTGATAGGTATTGTTATCTATGCAGGTAAGTTTCATGTTAATATATCTATGTGTTAATATAATTATATACATATCAATAATCATTTTTTAAGTAGTCATGTTTACTTATCATAAAGTTTTATTCCAAATATAGTGAGTTAATTAAATATTGTTTACTTTAAGTTCTGCCCTAAATAATTCACGAAAAAGAAAATAATCAAAATATGACATCAAAACACCTACAGAAGTACCATTTATCTTAGATTCTTTTAGTTATTTGGATGAGACTATAATCTACGGACGACCTATAAGCGATGCTAAAGTGATCTTAAGAGTGTCTATCTACTTACTAGGACTAAATGAGGGTTATAAAGCAGTTTGTAGAATAAGGATTATGATTTACAATTGATGGTTAGAGTTAAAAATTAGATTTAGGGTTTTCATTACGATCTGACATCAACTATAAAACCAAGACTCTATTTAGCCGAATTGGTGAATGAATTTCGCGACAAAATCTAAGACCTGTTATTGTAAATTTGATTAATTCGTCCATAAACTATAGTCTTGCCGTTATCTGTTGATAACACTTTCCTTATCTAAATTTCCAAGGGTTGAACTTTTACCGGGAGATTCACTTTTTGACCTAGAATATGTCTATGACATAGTTCTGTTTGGTGAAGACTCTGACAAAATTCACAGTCTTCTGACCACTCTAAGCGACAATGCAAGCATGTTCGGGATGCGATTCTCCCCCTCGAAATGCAAAATGTTGCTTCAGGATTGGGTTGCATCGACAGTCGAACTAATGATAGGGAGTGAAGTAGTTGAGCGTGTCGACCGCTTCACTTATCTCGGAAGTCTCATCAGCCCTTGTGGTCTAGTGTGTGACGAAATCTCAGCACGGATACAGAAGGCTCGACTAGCTTTTGCCAACTTGCGTCATTTATGGCGTAGGCGAGATATCCGTCCATCAACCAAAGGACGTGTTTACTGCGCAGTTCGTTCCGTTCTACTTTATTTATGGCAGTGAAACATGGCCGGTAAGAGTAGAGGATATCCGTAGGTTACTAGTATTTGATCATAGGTGTCTTCGAAACATTGCTCGTATATCCTGGGACCATCGAGTAAGTAACGCGGTTGTTAGGAAACGGGTACTAGGTAAGAATGGCAAATCAATTGATGAGGCAGTGAAACTTGATCTGTTGAAATGGCTGGGACACGTGTTACGTATGTCCAACGACCGACTGCCTCGACGTGCTATGATTTACGGTGTAGGTTGGAGGAAAGCTAAGGGCGGCCAGACCAAAACATGGCACAAGTCCATGAAATCACTGACAAGTGGACTGAGTCATGTTGGTAGGTGTAGACTACCTGGTTGGGGACCGCGAGATGATAGCAACCGATGGTTAGAGACCCTGAATGACATGGCTCAAAATCGTTTGCAATGGCTCAGGTGCATCCACTCTTTGTGTTCTCCCAAATTTTAATCTTCTGATTCCTCCATGTCTCTTTTTTCTCTTCCCAAATTTATTTCACTGGATTATACTCTTTAAATAACATCTGCAAACCCTAATGTTTCCGATTACTGCTTATACTCTTACTACCACTACGGGATTTGAATCGACAACTGTATCTCTGTGCTAATGTGGTGTGGCAACTCGAACTGATGTACGTACGTACGTACGAAGTTCTACGTTGTTACTGACTGACTAACTGATCTATTGATAAAACATTTATTATACAATGAAATACTTCTGATTTTAACTGGCAATGAAAAAGGTGTTTCCTTACAATTAAACCGTACTAAGCTAAGTTTCGATATGTTTCCCAGGGGTTTCTTGGTTTTTTTTTGCAACTAATTTTATGATGTCAAATAAATTTTAAGCAATAATTACTGTAGAATTGAATAATCACTTAGTAGTGAGCAATAGGATGTTTGTTTGGTCAATAGTTTTAATGGAATTCTATCTATAAATTTACTACATAGCCACTAGTCTAAGTGTATTGACATCGCATGCAATTTCTTTTAAAGAGTGTATACACGTAACATTAGTTACTATTCAGTGATTAGTTAATTTGAACATCGCAGTTCTATTGGAGGTCATTTGCTGATCGAATATCTTGATAGTAATATCTCAAACTATAGAACTAGATAAGACAGGTTTGAATCCTACGGGGAATATTAGTTTTTTCAAGGTTCCAAGGATGATCAACATAACTTAACATGAAACCCAAATCCAGGTTTTCCTTCCGACTACCTCCAAATATCAAAATTCTTTATATTCTGGGTGAAACGGATTTATAGAGATTTGTTTAATTAGTAGGTTGTATTCACCATAGATTGATTTCAGTTCGGATACCATTGAAAGTCAGGAAGAACTACCTAATTGTTTTGTCTTGGTACACATACACTTTCACCAGTGGTCGAATTCAGGACCTTCAGATTTCACATCAAATGCCTAACCATTAAAACCACTAGGTTGTCGACATCCAACAATACAATTCCAACTTCCATGAACTTGCGATATAGCACGGTTATAATCTAATGTCATTGATGATTGTTTCATTGCTAACATGTTTAAACTCCAACAATAGCAACTCACAAGAACATCACGAACATCTTAAAATGAATCATTTGTTCTTCTAATCTGTTAATTCCTTATTATACTTCAATGGTATACGGACAACTTTTGCTCCATTCATGACGAAAATATTGTCAGTTTGACTCATATGACTAATATTAGGCATAAATAAATGTAGCATAACTATCTTAAAGCCTGAGAGTTTTGAATATCTTAATGGGCATACATATTTGCCTGAGTCAAAGATTCTATTTTATTCATTGTGATGAGATAATTCCTAAATGATCCTAAACGGGGATAAACAAATGGTGAATACTATTTAGATTTATGTAACTGTTTGAGATTTAAAAAGGATTTTTGGCATGGATTTAAATTCATTGGGCAACTACAAAAGAGATCGAGGCATTTGACATTCGTTTCCTTTCACTTAGGATACCATTGTAGTGTACATTCACAGTGTGGTAAATATGGAAAAACAACTTAAGTTAATTTAAATAAATATTTCGGAAGATACAATATAAATCCCTAATCCAAAAAGAAGTCTACAGTTTCCAATTTTAAAATGTGCCTAAGAGAAATTATAAACCACAACATAGCAAGTACATTAGTATATCGTGATTAAGAAGTATCTTTTTTACTTACGCCTTTTACTCCCAGTGGAGCATAGGCGGCCGACCAGCATTCTCCAACCCACTCTGTCCTAGGTCTTCTTTTCTAATTCCATCCAATTCTTGTTCATTTTTCTCATGTCTATCTTCATTTCCCGGAGTAATGTGTTCTTTGGTCTTCATCTTTTCCTTTGGCCCTGAGGATTCCATGTGAGGGCTTGCCTTGTGACGCAGTTACGTGCTTCCCTCAATGTGTGTCCTATCCAATTTCAGTGCTTCTTCCTGATTTCTTCCTCCGGTGGGATCTGGTTTGTTCTCTCCCATAGTAGGTTGTTGCTGATAGTGTAGTGTCTGGCCAACGGATCCGAAGTATTTTGCGTAGACAACTGTTAATAAACACTTGCATCTTGTGGATGGTGGCTTTCGTGGTTGTTCAAGTTTCCACCCCATACAGTAGAACTGTCTTGAGAGTTGAATTGAAAATCTTGACTTTGGTGTCGGTTGACAGTTGTTTTGAGTTCCAGATGTTCTTCAGTTGTAAATGTGCTGCTCTTGCTTTTCCGATCCACGCCTTCACATCTGCATCAGATCCACCGTGTTCATCAATGATGCTGCCCAAATATGTAAAGGTTTTAACATCATCCATATCTTCTCCGTCAATTTTGATTGGATTGGTGCATGCTGTGTTGTATCGGAGAATCTTGCTTTTCCCTTTGTGTATATTGAGACCTACTGCTGCTGAGGCTGTTGCTACACTGGTCGTTTTCTCCTGCATTTGTTGTTGCGATTGCGATAGGAGGGCCAGATCATCTGTGAGGCTAGATCGCCTAATTGCATCCTAGATGTCCACTGTATCCCGTGCTTCCCTTCAGATGTTGATGTCTTTGTGATCCAGTCGATCACCAGGAGAAAGAGGACGGGTGAGAGTAAGCAACCTTGCCTGACACCGGTCTTTACTTTGAACGACTTTGTCAACTGTCCTCCATGCACGATTTCGCAGTTTAATCCATCATAGGAATTCTATATTATATTGACTATCTTCTGAGGCACGCCGTAGTATAGAAGAAGAAGCTTCCATAGTGTTGTTCTGTCCACGCTATCAAATGCTTTCTTGTGGTCAATGAAGTTGATGTAGGGTGGTGAATTCCATTTAACTGATTATTCCGCAATGATCCGTGGAGTTGCGATTTGGTCTGTACACGATCTATCTTTACGGAATCCTGCCTGTTGGTCTCGAAGTTGAGCGTCTACGATTCAGAAGTATAGAGTATTTGTATTCATTGTATACTCAACAAATGACTATAATCAAACACATTTGGTCTCGTAGTGATTACATTTCAATCCAACAAAAGGATCCAGGTAATCACATTTTCAAATATCAACAATTTTATGACACCACAACCATTATCTAAGATTATCAGTGAGCCTCTATTTTCATTCAAAAATGAATTGACATGTTTTCCCTTTGAGAGTTGTAAACGTTTCGGTGTTATGAGCGCTGTTAGCTCTGATATTGAGCACTTCTATGGAGTTCGAAACTTGGAATAAATGAGTATACAACCTTTTTTTTACATTAAACATTTGTACAGATAGAGTATTGACCATGTTTACATCATTCAAATTCTATCACTGGGTGAATATTTTGAACTAAAAACCTGAACATTGTATATGTAAGTGATTAATATATGAAAAGTATTTAATAATAGCCTTGTATACTTCCCAGCTTTGATGGAATTCTGTCAGTTATATTACAATGTGGACACTGCATAGTCAATCATTTTAAAACATTTAATGCTAAAAGAAGTCAGTCATAGACCATTAAATGCTATGGTACGGCCGAGGTTGGGAAGAGTCCTCTCTCTCTCTTGAAACGCTCTCACATTGCCACGCGTATACAGCCACTGACAGGAAAATCCTACTCACTGCTTTCTCGTGGCGGGGGTGTTGTTAAGGAAATTTAGAAGAGAAAAGAAAATGTCCGACGCTTTAATCGGATTGGTGAACACGGAGGACCCATCTAGGGGGGTTGAAAAACCCTGATTCCAAATCAATAGCTCTAGGATCTTGAAGGAACAAACGGCGTATGAGCCTGTTGTTGGTCACCGGCTACTATGAGGCTACGTCTTCTGACGTTGCACCACTCCTATATAAATTAGACCTTTATGTCAAAGGCTCGTGGAGTGGCCCTCTAAAATAACCACGTGCTTCGATTTGGGCTCCCGGGCAGTATTCCAGCCTTCACACAAATGAATGATAACTACTACTGACCTCATTGTTATTATGTGGCGCATATGTATTTGGTGCCTCCTTCTACCACTATTTATGTGTCCAAATAAATAAACAAATATAATAAACAACTCATCAGCAACATATTTAACTGTAATCGTAATTGCTGTAGATTTAAGTCTCATACAGAACATAATTCCTTTCAAGATTGTCGATAAATCATAATGACAGTTGACAATAGATACAAAATCAATCCTCATCGATTTTTTCCTATTGACCTCCAACTACTTAACAACAATCTTTGATTTCAATAAAGGGATCATTTACTTTAGAAATATTATAATTAAAAACTGTAAAACAACCCTCAAAGCAATAAAATTAATGGGTCTTACAACCTGCTGTTTTCTTTTTCTTAAAAACAAACAAACAAACAAATCATATGATTCATTATTTATTATAGAAAAGTCAAAAGGTTCGAAGTTACTAGGTAGGTAGGTAGGTATTTATTGATTTTTACTTGACTTTCATTTCGATGTTCTCTGAACATTAGTGCTTAATCTATAGAGTATTTATCAATCGATTATGTAATTTAAGTTCACGATCAATTGATTTTCTCTCTCGTGGGTTGTATCAAAGTAAGTGAGCAGACAAATCATTAAATTTAAATCATATCATTTCCAAGTCAAAAATGATCTCTCTTTTATTATTTTATATCATATGCTGGGTTTATTTTGACAACCACTAGAATCAAGAAATATTAGACAGCTGTTTCGTCCTAGTTCGAAATCCAACAATAGGTGAGAGGTCGATTTCCTGACTTTCAAGCATCGAGGTGAATGTTTAAGTTTTATATTACTGAGTCTGCATTCAATTTATTTACATTTTTAATTTTAGTCAGTTCACGATATTGTACAATTATCATCCATTGTCATTGATCTTATCAATGCCTGATGATAACAAACTTAAAATAATATCCGATTAACTGTGTTATAACTGGTCGCCGATGATTGTTGTGTCGGAAAAACGCTGATCACTTATACTAGGGACCTCTGCAATTCTCACAACGCGAATGTAGTAACACAAAGACTAGTATAAGTCAAGATTTATTAGCCTCAATACATTATAACGACGATGACCCTAGTCTAAAATACACTCATTTACATATTGATTGTATACCCATTTTGAATAATAATTAGGATTAAATCACATACTCAGTTATCATAAATCACTTCTGAGCATGGTTAATGTCAATTGAATGCCAGAATATCATATATTATACAGAATAAAATATCATACGGGGAAACAAAAACGAATACTCCACTGAATAATCATCACATTGAATCAGAACGGAATTAATATTGAAACAAAACTCATAATGAGTAAATCAATCCAAAACTGGCTTTTCTTTCCATCATATCACACTGACAGTCATCTTATCAATCATCATAGGTATGTAGTGGTAATATACATTTTTAAACCAAAAAAGCATTTTTTTTCTTCTGGTTAGCGTTTTTTTAGCGGGTATTTTTCTACGGGATGGGGTAGCTAACCCTATGCCAAACCCTACTCCTTTATCCGGTCTTGGGACCGTCAGTAGCCCCCGGAGGGACTCTAGGCAGAGTTAAAAAGAATTTTACTCAATAAAATTTTCTAATGTTCATATTCTATTTAAGGTTGTGAAACAAAGGCAGCTTTGAATAATTCTGGTGTTCGATTCAAAAGAAGTAAACTGGAAAAACAAATTAATTTAGATGTTATATGGTGTGTACTTATTCTAGTTGTAGTCTGTGTCACTGGAGCTATTGGTAAGTAAATGGTGACAGGCATAAGTTTACTTTATTTCGATAATTCACACAATTGGGATAATAAGTTAATTGTAAATACATTAATAGTTTATAGCAATAATATCATAATTTGTATGACTGACCAGAAAACATGATGATATTGCAAAATTTTTGTTTATCATTAAACCATTAAATGGGAAGTGACCATAAGTTTCATATATCTGCGTTAAAGGTTTATATTGAACCATTTCGATCATCTTTCTTTGTTGAATGTGTCGGGAAGTTCCAAAATATGCTTACGAAACATCTTGTCTAACCAGTGTTGAATAGAAGCTTTTAGAAAACAAAGAGCCATGGGTCACATTTCTGATTGGATGTTTATCTACGCTACTATTATATTCATTATGTTTTTTCTCTAGCCTATTTAATTCTATCTAAACATAGCTATGCTTAAATATAGGTATTATTATGAGATATTAAAATATTTTGTTTGATTACTGTAGAAAGTAATTACTTATACTCTATGTTATCAGTATAGGAGATTTCTGGAGAGTGTAATATTTTCACAGTTGAAATCATGAGTCGATCTAAGCTAGACCACTATTTAATATCTGAATGCACTGGAAAGCTGTACTCACTAGTGACTAGTTTCACAATGCAACTCTTGGACTTCCAATTAGAATCTGTGACCAATGGAGTTCAACTATGTCGGATGTGAGATAGTTATCCACCTCAAGTAATGGATGAAGGGTTTGACAAGATCATGACTTGATTGAAATTAGACATGAACACTATTGGATTGTGACTGAATCATGTAAATGTTGAGCGTTCCCGGATGAGACTGAAAGTACTGTGTTCGATTCGCTTATGTGGGATCATGTATATACACTGCTGAAGATTTTGTTACTAGGACGAAATGGGAGTCTAGCTTAGATTAACTCGTAATTTCAACCGTGAAAATATACTCTATGTGTTGAGATGGTAAAGATTTATCGCTTAGAAACACGAAAGCTTCACGTGAATAAATCACCTAGGGTACAGAAAATTATTTTAAAAAATCGTATTTTTTGTTTTTGTTTTAGGTAGCGCTGTTTGGCATCAGAATTTACCAGGTGATGATGTATTGTTCGTTGCACTTGACAGAAATTCTTCAACTTCAACACCTGCTTATCAAGGTTTTCTCAATTTTTGGAGATTTGTAATCATTTTTCAAGTGAGTTAATCACATTAGATAAGCTTCAGTAATTATTCATAACAATATGTAAAGAAAGATTGACAACAAAAGCGCTACATATATATGGGCTAATAAGAACAGCCTGAACTGAAAGGATGGTATTCAACTAGCAATTACTTAACTAATGTTCATTGACAAGTAATTGAACTCTTTCTTTATTTCACATTTATCAGTATTCTGATAGAAACAATTCCAACCTTCAGATTACACTTTTATTTTTACTTCTAACTCAATCTTACACATACACACACACACACACATTCATTCATTTATTTTCACATTGTGAACGTTTCACATGATCCATATATCATTGTCTCATGTTATCCTATTTACTAAAGTCAATATATAAATATGATTGGATTAGCCCAGTATAAATTTGATTTGATTGTTACAACGCTATATATTTCTTTGATAATCTTGATTTCGACTATTATTCTGAAGAAGTTCAGATAAGTTTATTGGACGAAACATTGGAATTATTTAAATTTCAATCGCTAAGATTATTTAAAATAAAATTTTCACATATATATATATATATATATATATATATATAATGAATTCTCTATACTCGGCGCCCAATTTTCGTCAAACTCTTCGTTTGAATATTTTAATTAGTCTTTGAAATAACTTTCAAATTTATCGAATTTCTGTAATTCAGCCTTGACCAGTGGAGCTAATCCGTGTCGGGTAGAAACAGGTGTCTACTTCAGTACAATGCAAGATGGTTGCGCAATTTCGTGGATTGGTTGGGCTTAGAAATTAACACTGGATGCCGACTCAGTGGTACAGTAGGTTAGGCGTTCGCGCGCGAGACCGAAGGCCCTGGGTTGAAATCCAGCGAGCGGGATCATGGTTGCGCGCTGCTGAGGAGTCCCACAATAGGACGAAACGATCTTCCATTGCTTCTAGGTTTTCAATTGTGGTGGTCTAACATCAATCGGTTCATGATCTCAATCAAAACTTAACAATCTCCACATCCTCTATACTGATTGATAAGTCTTATCGATTGAACGCTATATTAGTTTCCCAAGCTATTCTGGTAACCCGCAAGCTAGAACCACACAGCGACTTGAACACCAGAGAGAAGACGCAAGTATGAAGGAAAATATTTTACTCCAAGGTTCATTCTATTACAGAAAATATAGGGTTTTTATAATATTTTAAGTGTCCTTGGGTCTCTGGAATATTCTGGAATGCTACTAAACATAGTAGCACTGTAGTAGCCAACCAATCAGACCTTCCGCATGTGACGTTTCGCTACCTTGATATTTCTGGCCAAGACTCCAAGTGGACGCTGATTGGACGAAACACTTCTTAGTGTTTCTTGATGCTTGCTTGTCTTTTGCAAGCAATTTCTGGATCACCCCAACACTGATAACAAAAAGTATAGTTTTAGAAAGTCAATTTCACACATCAGATTTGAATTGTATTCAAGTCAACACAGGTTGTGCAACCGGGTCATAGTATTATTGTGGTGAATGCTACCCACAAGATTGCTTACAAGTATTTTTTTAGTGGAACGTCACTTGGTAGTTGCAATAGACACGGCAGCTGAAGTGAAAATTTTCAGGAGATTGAAAAGCACCGGGGTAGGTAGAATCCTTTAGATACTTGAATAAAAGCAAGAGAAGACAATCTAGAACCAACTCGGATTGCATGATACAATAGGATACCAATGGATGCACATATTGCATAAACATTTTGTGGATTCACTACATAAACATTCTTTCTACCTAGTGTCTTGTCCTACATTATCGGATGAACTTTGGGAAAGCTGAAACTTTCTCGGCTATTTTTCGGATTATTATTACTTATATCTTTATTCTATCAATTATTAGATAAATTTATGGTTGGATTTCTATAATACTCTTACTTAAGCTTGCGACTGTCACTATACATTTTATTATCCCTTAGTTATTTCTAATTATATATGCGTTTCCTGGTTAGCTACTGGATTAGATGGAACTTGAGAACCAATAAGTGTTAGGTCCTTGGATATGGTTCATTGGTCGGTATGTCAGTTCTTGTAATAGAAAGTAACTGGCCCTACTGACTACCATAGATTGCGCATAACAAGTACTATTTCTAACCCTTTCAAAAGTGTATAGATAATAGCTGAGTATAAGAATTCGGTTAGTTGGATGATCATTTTCATTAGTACCATTACTTACACGAAATTAATAGAAATTAGAATGTTAATCAATATATGTACGTTTCATAGTTCAACGTTTTCATCTTAACTTATTTAGTCTTTTTATATATAGAGAGAGTTCTTAATCATGAGAAGTTTCAAGATAGAAGAAAGCACTCGTCTTGTAATTTGATCTTATCTATGCTAATAAAAGTAACTAACGGGAATGGCTATTACAAATTAGTCACCGAACGTTCTAATTATTAACTGAAAAAAGCATACAGTAAATAGCCTAAAATATAGGCTCCGCCTATAGACATTTTGATTACTCCTACGGCTGTGATCGAAACTGTGAATTCATGTTTTGTCGTATATGAAATCCTTCAATTTCAATTATCATTCAATATCTTAATATTCGTTTTCAGATTCTGCGGGCAACATTCCACTATCCAAACCTCCTACTTACGCCTATTACTCCTCATGAAGGAGCATAGGCCGCCCACCAGCACTTTCCATCCAATTCTGTCCTGGGCAATCCTTTGCAGCTCTTTCCAGTTGTTATTCATCTAAACCTACTAGGCTTGCTAAATCTGTTTTTGATTTAAAACAGAGAATCAATAGACGATAGTGATCATTGATAACTAGAATTTAAAAGTAATTTCTTGATAAAGCATCTTAGAGTCAACATCAATGTTGAGCACTTATAAACTATTTATTCTGTGGATTTATCTACGGCTACAATTTAATGCTTTACATTTCTAACTCCAGTTGATTTCCCATATTTCGTGACCATTTTTTTCCATTTCTGTTGGTGAATAACTGCCTCATATATAACATGGTTAGACTCTAGTAGTCATACCTTCCCACTAGAACTAAAGGTTTAATCTCCTATGCGTCGTACATGCTCACTACTGAGGAGTCCCATACCAGGACGAAGCAGTTGTCAGTGCTTCCTGGTTTTCACTGGTGGCCTAGTGAAGATCAGTCCATGATGTAAGGTATTAAATTCTATAATCTCTCCGACCACCTTGTATTGATAATAACAAACGTTATTTTAGGCCTTAGTGTTTGTTAAATCCAATCGATTAGACTGGAATGGGATCACTTGTTCAAGCGAATTAACACCTGAAAACATTTCTGTTGATTTTGGGTGACCAGAGAGAATTGAGTTTCGTGATAATCAGCCCTTATCAGTTTGACAAACCTATCTTATTAAAGTAAATTTCGCTTCTCTTGGGAATCGAACACGTCTTACCAAATGTTGTAGTTGAATGGTAACACCTACTGTAAAACAAATGAAGACGGATTCGAATGATCAGGGGATCATTTCACGTCTTGCTCACGAATGTCAACCACCTCAAATCCTGTTTAATTTTTCCTATTGACTAATTACTACCATTTAACGTTAATCCGATTATGTAGACAAATTCTTCTAATTCAATGGATATATTAATTACTAATTTAATCATTTGTCTTTTAACTATTGTGTTATATGCTAAATCTTGCTTCGTCTGTTTTGTTTTTGATGTATGGTTAATATCACTAACTTTTCATACAAGAAATGTGATTTTAACTGTAAAAATACTGCAATCTCCACAATGTCCCCAATGCTAATAACAATCGTTTGCTCACTAGTGACTAGTTTCATGATATAACTCTTGGACTTTCAGTGAGAATCTGTAACCAATGGAGTTCAACTATGTCGCATCTGAGATAGTTATCTACCTCGAGCAATTGATGGAAGGTTGGACAAGATCATGAATTGATTAAAATTAGACATGTACACCATCGGATACCGGGTGATTGGTATAGATGTTGAACGTTCTCATATATGACCGAATGTATTGAATTCGATTCTCTTATGTAGAATCATGTATTGACACTGCTGAAGAGTCTCATACTAGAACGAAACATACAGATTTTCAATAATGGTCTAGTTAAGATCAGTTCATGATTTAAACTATGAGAACTGTATAACCTCCTCAAAATCCCCAATACTAATAACAAAAAAATTTGACCTGAAGTTAAATGACATTGACCTGGTAGATTGGTTACTAATTTAAGTATTTTTTCTATTCTATTTCTCTACTCCTGTTTATTATAATATTTGTATTGTATTATATTGTATTGTTTGTTTTTCTAATAGACTATTATACCATTACCATTGTATGTAACAATTGAATTTGTTAAAATGCATCAAGTATGGCATATGAATAATGATTTACAATTATATGATAGTAATTTAGATAGACGTATTGAAATACGTACATTTAATATTCCTGAAGATTTAGGTCAAATTGAATATGTATTCACTGATAAAACAGGTACATTAACAGAGAATAAAATGGAATTTAAACGTGCCAGTATTAATGGAAAAGATTATCATACAGATGATGGTTAGTTGATTTATGATTTATCATTTATTATAATTGAATATGTTTTCTCTTTAATTGATCTGATCTATTTTTATCAAAATATCATGAGTCAATTGAAGCTAGACTATCATGCAAAACCTGGAAGTATTGGACGACCATTTCGTCCTATTGTGAGACTCCTCAACTGTGCGCATCCATGATACCGCCTTGCGAGATTCGAACTCAGGACCTATCGGCCAGGACGAGACGGTCATCTAGTGCTTCCAGGCTTTCCATGGTGGTTTATCCTCAGTTGATTCATGATCTCAACTATTAAAATTAATATAATATCAGTAATATATATGTATAACAATATTTTGTTGATGTAACTAGTTAGTTTGATAATTGATTGCAAATTTTTGTTTTTAACTTAGAGACCTTTAGCTTTCTTGGAAAACATGATACAATTTAAGCAATGAGTTAGAAACATGGTGTTTTAATCTTTGACTTCAGTAAACTTCATACGCTAGAATTTAGAGAAATCTGTTTTCTAAGCTATTTACATAACCATACATGAGTATTATCAGGTGATTAGGTTCCATATAGTTGTATTTTTTCAAAATAATTTGAAGATAAATCACATCATCAGTTGGACTTACAAAAGTTACGTAAAATCTGTAATAGTTAGTCGGGTTATGTACACGTTATTGTCAAACCAATAAGATTAAAGATAGCGGCTACTGGATTTTAGCGCGATAGTGTAAAATATGATAATGAAAAAGCTTTTATTTAACTAAATACTTAACAAAACCTACCAATATTTATAAGCAAAGATGAATGGTGGCTAGTAGTGAAATTCAGAACGTGCATTTCATCCTATTTGAGACTCGTCATCTGAATGTATCTGCATTTCAAAGTTGATGTTCACTCTGGGACTTGAACCCAAATAAGACGAAACGCGCGTCCTGGATTCCATTGCTAGCCACTATCCATCTTTGTTTATAATGTTTGTGACTTAAGTCAATATCGAGGAAATTTGCACAATATGCACATATGCCAACATGAGATTGATCAATTGCAGTTCTGAATAACAATGGGGAGATACATGTAAACAACACTAAGTGAATCTAACAATATTCAGTTTCTGTGATTTTTAAAGGTTGATAAACATGATAGGACTAAGGAATAGAAACCATGATTTATAAATTTTTGAAGGTTATTCAAAAAAGGTTTCGCTATCTTAAGATCAAAGAATTGACTGCGTAATTATTCGTCTGTATTAATCACAAAGTATCCATCTATTTCATCTCGAATCAATACTCTACCCAAACTCTTGACTCTAAAACCTAACCCTGAATCTTAATCTTAATTAAAACGTTTAAACCAAACCGTAGCTTGTTATAAGTATTTTATGCAATAGATTATTCTTATTATTATTACTTGCATTCTGATTGACTGAAAAAATTCCCTGAAAGTCGATAGTCAAGTCGACTTTTGCCAAAAACTGTAATGAACAAGTTTCTATATAAAAGTATTACCAAAATCTGTATATGAATAGGGGGATGTTAGAGATGATAAATAACCATAGACTCATTGTCTATTAAAGATTACTAATTAAATTGTATGATATTTTTAAGAATTGAAGAGGCGCTAAAATAAACTTCAGCTTTTTAGTACAATAAACATCCAAATAGAGTTTATCGAGTATACTCCTCGACAGTTCGTTCTGTTTTACTTTATGGCAGCGAAACGTGGCCAGTAAGAGTTGAAGATACTCGTTAGCTACTAGTATTTGACCACAGAAATATTACTGGCATCTGTTGGGATCACCGGGTAAGTAATAGTGAGGTTAGATGCAGGGTATTAGGGAATGATGGTAAATCAGTTGATGAGGTTGTTAATCTTCATCGACTGAGATGGTTGGGCCACGTGTTACGTATGTTTGAACACTGATCACCACGTCGCGCAATGCTAACCGGTGTTGGGGATGGTTGGACGAAAGTTAGGGGCGGCCAAACTAAAACGTGGCATCAGTGCTTGAAGACACTAACCTCTAGTCTGAGACATGTTGGGAGATGCAGACTACTTGGTTGGGGTCCGCGTGACTATCGTAACCAATGGTTGGAGACTCTTGGTGACATGGCTCAGAATCGATCACAATGGCGTAGGTGTATGCACTCCCTGTCTTCCCTTAAACTAAGAGATTAAAAACACTTCATACCTTTCTTTCTACTAACTAATTCTTTCTTCCTGTACTATATCCTTTTATGCAATCTTTCTCCTATATATTGCCACCTTTGACCTAACCACTCCTATGAATCCAGTGTTCATCTTGCTGTGCTGATGCGGTATGGCAACTTGGACCGATGCATATATGTGTCTGGTCCTACGTTGTAGCTGACTGACTGACTGACAAATAGAGTTTATGAGTATGATATACTCATCAAACATATTTAATACAGTCATTGAACTGATTCCTAACCTTAATTAAGGTAATACAAGCACTGAGATATTGCTTTGTCAAAAGTAATAAACCAAGATTTTCTTAATCTGAAGCTTGTATTATTGCTTCATACCCCCCATTAATAGACAAAGTATCTTCTAATCAGCTAGACATAAACCGCTACATATTTTATACAATCAGTTAGTTGAGCACTTATATTTCAAAGAATAGGTGTTAGATCAACTCTTCATTTCATCTGCTTTGCACAAATATTTATAATCTCTCACTTTAATGTGTCTTAATATCAGAAGGGATTTTTGTGGATATTATAGTAATTTCAATGGTTGAGATCATGAGTCAGTTGGAGATAGACAACTATCGAAAACCTCGAAGCACTGGACGGCCATTTCATTTTATTGTGGCACTTCTCGGCAGTGCGCATCCACAACCTCGCCTCGAGAGATTCGAACACAAGACCTATTAGTCTCGTGCGCAAGCGCTTAACCACTAGACCACTGAGCCGGCATCTAATGGTGTTAATGTCTAACTTAAAATAATCCACGAAATTTGGCGACACGTTGATCATCGCCATCAGTGAGTTACTATCTCACAACAGACCTGGTTGAACTCCACTGGTCACTGCTTCTCACTAGAACTCCAGGATATACCTCTTGTAGCCAGTCACTAACGAGCATATGTTGATTAATATCAGAAGGGTTTTTTTGGATGTTGTAACAATTTCAGTAGTTGAGGAGTCCCAAAATAGGACGAAACGACCATCCAGTGCTTCCAGGTTTTTCATAGTGCTCTAGCTTCAATTGACTCATGATTTCAACTGTTGAAATTAATGTGTTTTGTCAACTAATCCTGTTGTATTTTAAGTTTTCTTTAGACTAATACCCTGCATTTTTTCTGTTGTATATCATAGGTGATTATCATGAAAATAACGGTCAATTCAGTAAACATTCTTCACCAGTACGTTGTTTTGCACTATAAGGGTGGTTTTTTACGTTTTGGCTTTTGCAAATATTGTGTAGTTGTGTTGTTTAAACACTCGCTAGTTAATAATGGGCTGTAACACAGTAGTTGTTTCCACCTTCAATATTAATTTATTAATGAAGATTGGTTATTCCTAGTTTCGGGTACAATTCATGAAGTATTATAAGTGATACATTGATACATGGTATTCCAAAATTTATGGTTTATTGATTATATATCTGTGAGATTTGGTTTTTAACGACTTGTATTATTGTTTAAAAACATAAGGAAATTAGTACAAAGGGCTACCAAAACATATATGCTCCACACAAACTCAATGATTTGTGTGTGGGCCGAGATACCTCATGACTGCTTAAACCGAAACGGGAGGTTTTCTTAGGGTGCCACTCCCTAGGTCTTTGACGAAGAAGTGTAATTTGAAAAAAGCAGTGGATCGTCAGGAACATCAGTCTCATGGTACCTGATGATCAAGAATAGCTCAATACACCATTTGTTCCCTTAGAGTACTGGTGCCTATATGCACCATCGGTTTAGAATTATGATTTTCTGACTCCTCTAGATAGATCTCCTCCGTACCTACCAATCCGGTTTAAGCACCGCGCAATCACTTTTTGTCTTCTCAATTTCACCAGCTGTCTGAATAATCAAAAGTTTTTAAGTAGATAAAATAAAACTGTTAATGATTTTGTCAATTTCACTATCTATTTATTATAACCATGTATGGTGTATAATGAAAAGTGTCTTATGACTGACACAATAAAATGTTATACTGTAGTGAACAAGAAGATGACTGGGGACAATCGAATGTATTTGAGCGCAAAATTACAAAACATCTCACTAAAATCTGAGAACAATACAGTAAATACTTAATTTGAATAATATCAATCCATTGTCTCAAACTTGATTGTTCCTTCTGCAAATATCATTCCATCGTCTCAGATTTCATTGTTCGTGTTCGTTCATGTCAATTGCTTTCCGTCCGCATACTTTCCTTCTTAATCTTCTACTGAAATACATTCTATTTTTGATCATCGTTATATACTACTTATGTGGACATAAGTAGCTCAAACTACAGTACAACTATCAAGAAAAAGGGATTTATTTGTGTTTCTGAAATGTAAATATAATTATTTCTAGTTACCGTCTTTAACTAAAGAACTGAAATTGATATGTACTCCAACTCAAATCAATCCCTAACGAATAAATACATATTAGGTAAATTAAATTTACAAACACCCTTAATCAAAACAATCATACCAATTCCATAGTATAAATTGTGTAAGTGACTTGAAAGTTCATAAAACTACTTTAATGATAAAAAATATTTCATGAATTATAAAGTATATAAATGTTTAGATCATTTTTTAACGAAGAACAAAATTTGATTACAGGTAGTTACATAATACAAATAGTGTAATAAATGAAATCGATATATTCAAGGCAAATGTGATAGAATACTCTTCAGACGATATTGTTGTTTGATTCCTTTTTGACATGAATCAGTTCTGTATGCCAAAACACTTTTCAATTACATTTTACACTTAGTTCCAAATTTCGCATGACATCATAAGTTGTAATAATAAATAATAGTTGTAGCTTAACTTACAACTATGTCCCATACTAGAACGAAACAAGTCTTCAGTGCTTTCAAGTTTTCGATGATAATCTGACTTAGACAGGTTCCTGATATCAATAAAATTGGACAATATTCACAATCCTATACTCGAAATGTTTATTGTTATTTAATACTTACAAAAACGCCGTCTGTAGCTCTTCTAGTGTTACGGCCGGAGTCGGGAACCCCAACCCGTAGAAAAATATCTTGTTAGAAAACGCTAACCAACTTAAATAAATTAAACCATCTAAACTCTTCCCTTCGATTTAAAAATAATAATTATGATATTTTATGATGAAAACAGGGATTCCTAGGAAGTCATAAGGCTGATACCCTTCTTACGACCGGCGCAACAATTAATATAGGTACATGGGATGTCCGGACAATATAGGGGACCGGAAGGACCAGCCAGATAGCAGCGGGAATGAGGAGATACAAATTAATGGTGCTCAAAATCAGTGAAACCCATTGGACCCAAGCTGGACAGCAAAGGTTAGGTACGGGAGAGATGCTGTTTTACTCCGGTCACAAAGATGAAAATACTCCGCACACTTGAGGAGTTGCTCTGATGCTATCCAAAGAAGCATGAAATGTACCTATTGGGTGGGACAAGATTCAAGAAAGGAAAAACAAGGAGACAGCAATTAACAACAGCCGAACAACAACAGAGAAAGTCAAGGCACAGACCGAATACATAGAAGCAAACAAGCACGTGAAGAAAAGCATTAGAGCTGACAAGCAAAAATATATGGAAGACGTAGCAGTGACAGAGTAAAGAACTGCAAGAGAAGAAAATACGAAACAATTATATGACACAATAAAGAAACTGGCACAGAAGTATAGTAAATCAAAGAGATCGGTCAATGGCAAAGAAGACAAGCCAATCACTGAGATTCAGGAAGAGGGGAGGAGATGGGTGGAACACTTTGAGGGACCCTTGAATAGATCAGATACATTGAATCCACCGAATATCTAAGCAGAACACACAGACCTCCCTATGGATATGATGGTAAAGATTAAGGCTAAAGAATACAATTCGCCGAGATTTAGAAACATGCATGAGATGGATGAATAATAACTGAAACGAGCTGGAGGGGATCGCTTAGGACATATTTGGATGGAGAATGCTGGTTAGCGGCCTTTGCTCCTTCACGAATGGTAACAGGGGTAAGTAAGTAAGTGAGTAAGTAAGTAAGTAAGTAAATAATAGTTACAAACTCTAGTTATTCAGATTGTAGTGAACGATCACTTGGTGAGAATAACCAATTTCTTATTTAATGTAAAAGCATAAAGTAACTTGGTAAAATACAAAAACCATACATTAAGTACATCATTTCTATTAGTTATCTTTTTCGTAATTTATAATTCCTTCAATTATATTTTTTCATTTCAAATTCTTTGTATTCTCTTCAGTTCGATTTTCTTAGTCTTCTATTCTTAGTCATTCTAGTTCTAATTAGTGTTACATACTACTTATATCTATCAATATAAGTAGCATACGCTACATGATATTACTAATATATTTATTCTATTTGCTAATATATGTATTCTGTATTCTGTACTTACTTTCAGAAGCATATTGTAACAAATTTAAATACATTACAGAGTATATTAGAGAATAGAACAATTTTTTCTTATCATCAAAAGACTATCAATAATGATATGGAATATTCTGATCATAGTTCCAGGAATTATTATTTCAATACTGATAAAGAAATCAATAATATTGAATTTATTACAATACAACCATCTAATGAGATACCATCAACTAGTCATATCCAAATGGATGATACTAATACTCCATCTTACTATTTATCTCATTCTATATCATCACCATCATCTCAACAAAACAATATAGATATTGAAATAAATCATGAAAAACAATGGAAAATGAATGAAAAATCTAAGAATTTATTAAATGAAAAATGTAATTCTATAGAAAACAAATCAAAACCATTACATAATCAAGTTTTATTAACTGAAGAAATACGTATTCAAGATTTTTTCTTAGCTTTAGCTATATGTAATACAACTGTAGTGTCTGTTACAAAGAATACTCCAACAATGGTAAGTTAACTTGCATTTGTTTATTATATTATATTATATATCTGATAAATGATATTTCATAGAAGTTTACAGATTCTTTGCTTATTGACATTGGTAATAGCCTTCAAAAAACTAATCTTACTTACTTACTTATTTACGCTTGTTACTCCCAGTGGAGCATAGGCGGCCGACCAGCATTCTCCAACCCACTCTGTCCTAGGTCTTCTTTTCTAATTCCATCCAATTCTTGTTCATTTTTCTCATGTCTATCTTCATTTCCCGGAGTAATGTGTTCTTTGGTCTTCATCTTTTCCTTTGGCCCTGAGGATTCCATGTGAGGGCTTGCCTTGTGACGCAGTTACGTGCTTCCCTCAATGTGTGTCCTATCCAATTCCAGTGCTTCTTCCTGATTTCTTCCTCCGGTGGGATCTGGTTTGTTCTCTCCCATAGTAGGTTGTTGCTGATAGTGTAGTGTCTGGCCAACGGATCCGAAGTATTTTGCGTAGACAACTGTTAATAAACACTTGTATCTTGTGGATGGTGGCTTTCGTGGTTGTGCAAGTTTCCACCCCATACAGTAGAACTGTCTTGAGAGTTGAATTGAAAATCTTGACTTTGGTGTTGGTTGACAGTTGTTTTGAGTTCCAGATGTTCTTCAGTTGTAAATATGCTGCTCTTGCTTTGCCGATCCGCGCTTTCACATCTGCATCAGATTCACCATGTTCATCGATGATGCTGCCCAAATATGTAAAGGTTTTTACATCCTCCAAATCTTCTCCGTCAATTGTGAGTAGATTGGTGCATGCTGTGCTGTGTCGGAGAATCTTGCTTTTCCCTTTGTGTATATTGAGACCTACTGCTGCTGAGGCTGTTGCTACACTGGTCGTTTTCTCCTGCATTTGTTGTTGCGATTGCGATAGGAGGGCCGGATCATCTGTGAGGCTAGATCGCCTAATTGCATCCTAGATGTCCTTTGTATCCCGTGCTTCCCTTCAGATGTTGATGTCTTTATGATCCAGTCGATCACCAGGAGAAAGAGAAAGGGTGAAAGTAAGCAACCTTGCCTGACACCGGTCTTTATCTCGAACGACTTTGTCAACTGTCCTCCATGCACGATTTTGCAGTTTAATCCATCCTAGGAATTGCGTATGATGTTGACTATCTTCTCAGGTGTGCCGTAGTGTCGAAGAAGCTTCCATAGTGTTTTCCTGTCCATGCTGTCAAATGCTCTTTCGTAGTCAATGAAGTTGATGTAGAGTGATGAATTCCATTCAGTTGATTGTTCCGCAATGATCCGTAATGTTGCGATGTGGTTGGTACATGATCGATCCTGTCTGTTGGTCTCGAAGTTGGGTGTTTACGGATTCCTTCATTCTGTTTAACTATACTCTGTAGTGGCTGGCTTCTCATGAATATTTTTTTAGCATAGAGCTGTGGAGATTGTTAAATTTCATTGAAATTATAATTTATTTAAGTTAGATCAGCATTGGAAACCTGGAAGCATTGGATAAATGTTTCATTTTCATATCTACGCATCTACAATGTCGCTCGCGATCCCTCAACACTGAGTTAGCACACAACGATGCTGATACGTAAAATTTATCAATCCATGACATTGTGCGATCATCTTCCATTGTCTCTGGTGAATAACTACTTAACAAGGATTTACTCCACTAGTCATAACTTCACGTTAGAACTCCGCGAATTTTCTTCTCGAGATTACTCACTACAGTGCACGTGATAATAATACAGGATTGTGGATGAACACTGATGGTTAGTCTCGTACCTTGGCAAAACGGCCGACCAGTATTTACATGTATAAAATGGTTGTCTAACTTAGATTGGTTTATGATTTCAATGAAATCTCCATAAACATTTTACTCATGTTTCCACAATGTTTGTCAACCTGTTAGGATAATTATTTTTAAATGAGAGAATCTTCAAAGATTACCTGATTACGTATTTTTATTAAGAATGAAAGCTTCTAAAGGTTTTTTGGTCAGAGGATGCTGTGCATTATCAACATACTTGATCTTGCATGGTTACTAATTGATTGAATTCGCAACTGGAATCTATTGTAAGTTAATACCTTGGTCTTAAGGTAATGAATTCATCATCAAGCTAGAATATATTGGGTTTCTCGCTGTAAAGCCGTCACTTGTCACTACTTTGTAATCTCAAACTAAGACGAAACATTTGTCTAGCACTATTGTTTAAAGCCATTGTTTAACTAAAATTGGTTTGTGTTTATTATCGTTACCTTCTATATTGCATACTTTGAAATATATATTACTTGTTTATAAATAAGTAGTTCAGATGAGAATTCAATTTATTTTATGATTTATGTTGATTTCGAGATATACGATCGATTAATTGACTTCATGAGGTAACGAAATCCGCTAAATGATCAATCGTCATTGTAGTTACATTCAATTTAATTGTTATTGTATCCAGAACTTGTAAATTTTTGAATAGAACTAGGTATTGTGTTTCTGCTTACGTTGAGTAACGGTTTTATATGCGTTCAACTGATGACTATTTTGCTTCGGATTCCTGAACTCATTACTTAAATTTTTATGTTTTCCGTTGCTTTGTTACTATTATGACTGTACGTAGAATTAAGTTAACCTTTGTTTCTTAACTCTATTTCACTGAAGAAATCAAAATTGCTCACAAGAGATTCGACCAATATTTTCTCTCACCAAACATCCGTTAATAATTTTAGCATGAAATCCTTAAGTAGTATCTTTAATTTGAGCAATGACTTGCGAATGTGACTCAGCATCTGATTATTTCTATAGACGTTTTTGAAAGGGTTCGTTAAGTTTTAATTGAGATTAGATTAAGTAACGTTTCTCTATCAGAAGTGGTTTTTAATAGTTGAGATCACGAATCAATTGAAGCTAGATCACCATGGAAAACCTGGGAGCAAGGCCGTTTCGTTTCGCTTCTTCAGATTCGAACCTAGTACTTCTTAGTCTCGCGCTCGAGCGCTTAACCCTTAGACCACTGAACGGGCATCCAATGGTGTTAATGTTTAACTTCAACTAATCCACAAAATTGAGCTGAAATTATAATTGAAATTTTTAAACTGTCGACCTCAATCACCAGTGTTATAATGCTGTAGTTAATAGATGATTATTTGAATCGGATGTTCAATCTCTGAGATTGATGCCGTTAGTGTTACTCGTTGACAAGTCTCATCAATCTCAATTATTAACAATAAAAGCTTCTTGTAAACGGATATCCAATGCTGACTAGTGTTTGGGATGGTTGGAAGAAAGTTAGGGATGGCCAAACCAAAACGTGACATCATTCCTTGAACTCACTAGCGTCTAGTCTGAGGCATGTAAGTAAATGCAGACTACTTCGTTGGGGTCCGCGTGACTATCGTAGTCAATGGTTACAGATACTGGATGACATGGCTCAAAATCGATCACAATGGTGTAGGTGTACTATATCGTACTGTGGTGCGTGCTACTTATATTGATATAAGTAGTATATAATGTGAGTCAAAAGAACGTAATGTCTGGCAGCAGAAGACGGAGAAGATCAAGAAAAGAAGAGCGAGAAAACAATGGAATTTGTTAGAAACTGCATGAGCAATGAAATGCGAGACAATGGATTGATGTTTGCAACAGCAACAGCCCGGTTTGATATGATAGAATGATATTTTGCAAATTAACGATTTAATATATGGTTTTTCTATTTTACCAAGTAATTCTGTAACTTGTCCTAAATACAATTTGGTTGTCCTCACCCGTGTATTCTTCACTACAGTAATATATCGTTATGCACAATCGTTCTTTTATATATTGTAAATCGTTAATTTGCAAAATATCATTCTATCATATCAAACCGGCTGTTTCTGTTGCGAACACCAATCCATTGTCTCCCATTCCATTGTTCATGCGTTTTCTTACAAATTCCATTGTGTTCTCGCTCTTCCTTTCTTGATCTTCCCCATTTTCTGCTGCCAGACATCACGTTCTTTTAACTCACGTTATATACTACTCATATCAATATAAGTAGCTCACACCACAGGATTATATCTGAACAAAATATGAGTCATTTTATATAAACAAACTATTTTTCATGCACAATTAATTTACATAATAATAATGATAATTTCTTTATTATTATTTTTTTCTCAAAAAAATTCAGTTTCAGGAACCACCTCCACGTCGTAAAGGATTTCGTGATTTCTTTCGTTCTGGTAAATTCAATTCAGTTACATATCTACATCAGAAGTTACGCAAAACTAAACAGCAACAACAACAACAAAGTCAACCTAGTACACTATTAGATAAGTCTAACATCATAATAAAAGATAAAATAGATAATAATAATAATAATAATAATTTATCACGAGTTAAACAAACAATTAACTTATCTAATCTATTTTTAAATAAATTACGTTCAACTAAAATTGATAAAACAAATACTCAATCAGACAAATTGAATGATCAACATCATCATCATCATGATCATAATAGTACCATATCTTCTAATCTCTTAGTTACTAACAATATAAATCATAACACCATAATTAATCATACTAAACTTATTAATCATGAAGAAACTAGTCAAGAAACATTTATCATGGATGATTCTATTTCTACTAAATTAGATGATATAGAAATACAATCAATAAAGATTGATGAAAATTATCATAGAAATGAAATCAATCAAATCGATAATAATAATAATAATAATAATCAATTATTAAAAATCAATAATATCAATATTAATTCAGCTAGATTATTTAATGAATTTATGAAAGATAATTATTATAAAGAATCTATCTTGTATTATTATTCAAGTCGTTGTTTACCACCAGTTATTGAAGCATTAAATTTAGATATAATATTCAAAAATTCTAATCATATATTAAATAATAATAATAATAATATACAAATGAATATAGAAAATAAAAAATTTATTGGACATTGTATATTACCACAATATGAAGATAATCATTTAAGTTCATATAATAGTAGTAGTATATCAATGGATGAATTAAATTTACATCATTCTTCAATTTATATACAACAATCAGGTAAGTTCTATGTTATAATAATAATAATAATAATAATGCCCCCAAATGCCTTGGTACGGCTGAGAGTGGAGACAGTCCACTCTCCTTCTCGAAATACTCTTATATGGCCACGCGTATATAACCTCTGGCAGGGAAGTCCTACTCACTGCCTTCTCGTGGCGGGGGAGTTGTTTACGAAAATGAGAGGACGAAAAGCCAATGTGTGGCGCTTTAACCGGATTTCAAACTAATGGTGCACATGGGCTGGCTCCAGTATTCTGAGGGAACAAATGGCGTATGAACGAACTGTTGGTCACCGGCTTCCATGGGACTGCATCTCCTCACGATGCTCCACTGCCTTGTGGATCAGACCTTCAGATCGAAGGCTTAGGATGTGGCCCCTTAGGGAAACCATCTGCCACGGTTTGGGCACCCAGGCGGTATCACAGCCCTCACGCATATCAAATGAGATTTGTGTGGCGCGTATGTATTTCGTGCCTCCTTGTACCAATATCTATGTGTTAAAATGAATAAATAAATTAATACTAATAATAATAATGTATTGTGAAAATAATAATTACAAAATTCACGCAAGTTTATAATTAGCCAGTTACAATGTAGGATCAGGTATATACATGCATTGGTTCAAGTTGTCATACCACATCAACACAACAAGACTAGATGTTAGTGACTTCAATAAATGATGCCACATTTTGATTTGGTCACCCCTAACTTTATCCCGACCGTCTCTAACACTAGCATTGTGCGCTGTAGTAATCGATGTTCAGGTATACGTAACACTTGACCCAATCACCTCAGTCGATGAAGATTCACTATCTCATCAACTGATTTACCATCATTCATTAATATGGTACGTCTAACCTCATTATTCTTTATAATTCCGAACAGATTTGTTTCTCTTACAGATAAGCACAGAAATTGTTAAACCTCGTCAATTCTAGATCTTTCTGTTCAGTTAATACATTATTTATGATAAAACACAAATTTCCCTGATTTCAATCTATTAAAGTATTAGGTTACGAATATACTTGATTGAATTCTTCTTCGTTATACTTCATATAATAAAGTGGCATAGTGAATACGTTATTGAATTTGTTAGAACTTAAGTTACTAGAAAATCTAAGAAATTTTTTTATATCAATCATTCAATCAATTACAGTCAGCGTACAACATTGTACAAATATGTATCGATCCAAATTGTCATACCGTATCAACACAACTTGATGAAACTGTCAAGATCAAAGGAATGAAAGTATCACTGACAGTAAGGTGGATTACAACCAAAATATGCGATTAGTGAAGAAATAATTAATTCTTAGAAAACAACAGTAGGTTTTTTTTCTTTGGCTGTTGTTATGTTGGTTAACTTGAATGCTACTACTGATTCGTCTTACTCGGAACGGAACGAAGAATCAAGGATTCAGAGACTCGATAGGCTATACTGGTCCGTTGTCCCTGACTTAGCTAATTCGATCCAGAAGCCTTGGTAATATGTAGAAAATGTATTCTATAGACAACCAGAAGATACCAGGTCCATCAAGCACACAAATCAAGCGTATTTATACAAAAAATATATATAATCGATATTGCCACTGAAATATTTAAACATTTAATCGATAAGTTCGTCAATCGACTATGTGCATGGGTGGTAAGAAATGCCAAAACATACATCTGTATACAAGTTCTACAAAGATAAAATTACAAAATATGAGCTTTGGGGATGTAACGTCCCCAACAGCTGTGATGACAGAAAAGTAATTTTATGACCCCTTTCTCTAGTCTGATTATCTATTAGTTCACATATATGACCAATAATATCGGTGACTTATTGATCAATTGAAATATCTAACCACACCCAATGCGTTAATGCTTTTTTATCCTTGAGCTCCTTCTAACCTAGTGGCTAATCAAAAGACGAAGTCAGAAAGCAGATCAGTTCTTTATTGTACGCCATAATTGGAAGAGAACTGAGTAATATATCCGTAATAAGTTAATGGTGACTTGAGTAAGGTACAAAATATAACGAAAGTTTATGTACCATTCAAAAACGTGTAAGCGGGAGAATATGGAAATACAACAACTTTAGTATTTAATAATAGAAAGGCGAAAATCAAAGCAATATCTTCAGGTATGATAGCTCCGAAAGTTTAACTTTCCTATTGTTCGTTCTGTCATAATATTTTTCAACTTAGGATCTAGGGGAAGACAACGATTAAGAGCATTTGAGGCTTTGCGTTCGATTCCGAATCAAGTCATTTAATGTCTCTAGACATAGATATTAGTTATCGCGCCGACCCTGACCGGGTAGTCTAGGGCTGGGATACTACTCGGGTGCCCAAACCGAAGCAGCTGGTTTCCCTAGAGGGTCACTCCACAAGCCTTTGACCTAAGGATCTGATCCTCAAGGTGGTGGAGCAATGTCAGTAGATGCACTCCTATGGTAGTCGGTGACCAACAATAGGTCCATACGCTCAAGATTCTGGAGCCCATTTCCACCATTGGTTTGGAACCAGGTTTTCCAACTCCTCTAGGTGGATCTTCCATATCCACCCACCCGGTAACAACTCCGGGCATTCGCTTTTCGTCCTCTGAATTTCTTTAACACACACTGTTATGTCTTGCTGATTGGACGCTATATTCGTTCCTAATCTATTCTGATAACCCGCACGCTAGAACTATACAGAGACCTGAACAGCAGAAAGAAGGAGCAAAGTATGAGAGAAACACTTTACTCCAAGGTTTGTTTTTGGACAGAAACCTTGGGTATTTAACGTTTATTAAATCAACATCATATTTCGGTCAATCGGTTAACGACATATTATGCTACTGACCAATAGGTAGCACGCCATGTTGGAATTCTAGAATGCTCCATCATGCTCTGATTGGCTAGGACACTTTAGCTCCTTTTGGGCCTCTGGAGGCTCCGTTGAAGTTCTCCGAAAGCCGACTCAACACACACCACACCAGTATCTATGTGATTATTTGATCAAAGTCTACATGAGTTTGTCAGTAATTTTTTTAAACCATATCTTTCTATACTATAGATTTTGAATCATTAGAATCAGCTAATCATCGTTTCGATTTGAATAAAGATAATAAATTAGATAACCAACATGATAATAATGAAAATCTCACTAAGCTCAAAGATTTAAAACTCAATCTTATCAAGGAGAAAAGTGTTCAAAATGATAAAAATCAATTGGAAGAAGAATTAGAAATAAATACAGCTAGAACTCTTACAGTACGTATACACAATGGTAGTTCATTTGAGTTACCTATTGAATCTGATATTTATGCACAAACTCCATCTGAATTAAAACAATGTCCATTATCAGATAATACTTTATTTAATTCTTATGAATCTGAAAGTCCTGATGAAATATGTTTAGTAAAAGAGGCATGTAAACGAAATTACAAATTATTACAACGTGGTGTTGACTTCATATTATTATGGTTACCAAGTAAGTTCATGTAATACAATCTCATTTTATTATTTTTTTTAGAATTAAAATTTTAATGTTGCTATACTGTACAACAACATGGAAACTATTTAAAAAATTTCAAAAATAACGGGAACCATGAGAAATTTGTAACATTCCAAATGTGTATATCAAAACTAAATGTTGTCATTTACATTCACTCACCTGACGTACTTTATCGTCTTAGCCCTCAAATGTCCTGGTACGGTCGAGAATGGGGAGAGTTTGCTATCCCTCTCCAAAGGGTCTTACATGGCCACGCGTATATAGCCTCTGCCTGGGAAGTCCTACTCACTGCCTTCTCGTGGCAAGGGTGTTGTTTACGAAATTGAGAGGACGAAAAACGAATGTCTGGCGCCTTAATCGGGTTGGTGGACATGGAGAGTCCACCTAGGGGAGTTGGAAAACACTGATTACAAACCAATGGTGCACATGGGCTCCATTATCCTGAAGGAACAAATGGCGTATGAACCAATCGTTGGTCACCGGCTACCATGAGACTGCATCTCCTTACGATGCTCCACTGCCTTGTGGATCAGACCTTCAGGTCGAAGGCTCGAGATATGGCCCCTTAGGGAAACCATCTACTTTAGTTTGGGCACCCGGGCAATATCCCAACCCTCACGCATATCAAGTGAGATTTGTGTGGCGCATATGTATTTCGTACCTCCTTGTACCAATATCTATGTGTTAAAATAAAATAAAAAATAATCGTCTTAGTACAACCTAAGGTGATCGATTTCTGTTATCAAATTTTTTTTCAAAATGTCATTAAGTCCCACCAAACTAGTTCTACTCACTACATTCATATAGAAAAAACTTTTCTCAAAAAAATGGATGAGTTAGAAGAAGATCACTGATGGTTAATTAGATCATATTGGTTGGTACTGAAGATTCTTAATAAAGATATGAAAAACTCTAACTCCAACTCAACGATTTATGTCATCTCTATGATCCTATAAGATCTAGATTTTTAGTTGCTCCATTTGATCACTGGTAATCTTGGGGATTTAAATGATGACATTACATCATCACCTTCTAGATTTCACATCTTCAGGCCAACTAACCCAGAATTAAATAAGTTGATTCATTATTAGTGGATTAGATAGTACTGAAACTATTATACAAGCTATAATAAACATAAATTAACATTATGGATAACTCAATTTACAAACAGAAATCCATCCTTCTCAATTATTCATTATAAATAGAATTACTCTATGCCAGTTTGTATCTGTGTATCGTTTCATTTTCATATCCTTCACTTAAGTTTTTTATTTTTAAACCCTATACTAATAACACAGTCTCTTATAGTCTGATACATTGAAATGTTCAATCTAAGTGAGAAGTTAGTGTTAAGAGATTGTATTCTTCCCTTAATTCTGAAAATCCTACAATGGATTATACATAAAATGAGAAATAAATTCTATCACTCAACGAATAACCTTAACTAATTTAATAGTGAGGTAGAGAATTGAAAAGTGAGTGAACGATTGAGCAATTACTATTCATGGATTAAATGACTATGATAGTCTTTTGTATCTTTGTAACTATGTCCACCTTTTTTTTTTGGCAAAAAAGTAACTCGGTTAATTTATTCCCGGTACTCTATTTGGCGTTCATTCTTTACAACTCTAGCATGAATTCAAACAAACCATCGTACAATCCACTATCTGATATATTCATGATCGCTTTTCTTGCTACAAAGCCTTTTAAAATTTACTACATCCTCTAGTGCATGGTAAAGTAAACATATATACATATGGATGCAGTCTTAACAAAGGGAAGGGAAGTCTCGCCGATGTCTCCGAGGTTGGTTGCGTTACCATACTGGGCGCACGCGGAACCAAATGCCCGAGACATATCAATCTCGGTGGTCAGAGTCTGGAATATTAACCCGATTCCTTTTCGCTACAGGCGGCTGAGATGCAACAATACTTTGCAGTTTACTGAACAAAGCCCGCGAACAAACACTGTCAGGCACCCCGTCTCTATTCCAATTTACCGGACCATGGTCAACTACTGTTCCCATGGAACCCTTCTCCACCTCGGCCTTCTACATGAGTGAATCACACTTAAAGTCAACTAAACTGAATAACCCAACATGTTGTATCCTATGACCCGTTAAATATCTCGTGACGAAATCGTCATTCAGAATACCAATTTCTATGACTATCCCTGTGGTAAACCAACGATGTGTCAACTAACGCTAGCAGCCTTGAGTCAACTCTGGTCCTCCATGTGTTAACTTCTTGCCTAGCCTAGTCTAGCTCAGTCTATTCAGTCCATAACACAAATATCAGTTTCCGCTATATGATACTCATATTTCAGACATACGTGGTTTATATACAACCAAACTTGACCGCATTATGTCATAAAATGAAAAATAATAATTATACAAAATCATGACAAAAGTAACTGTGAGTAAAGAGAGACTGTAACTAATGGATAGAGAATAAATTAGGAATAGTCAATCATTTAATAGTAGTGAATGGATCAAACGAGATCCATATAGACATTTCAATAGTTTATTTAATTGTAATTATATGTAATTTCAATGATTAAGATCATGAGTCAGTTGAAGCTAGATCACCATGGAAAACCTGGAAACACTGGACGGCCGTTTCGTCCTATTGTGTGACTCCTCAACTACTGAAATTACTATAGTATCCACAAAAAACCCCTTCTGATATTAATCAACATATACTCACTAGTGACTGTCTTCAAGAGGTAGATCCTGGAGTTCTAGTGAGAAGTAGTGATCAGTGGAGTTCAACCAGGTCTGTTGTGAGATAGTAACTCACTGAAGACAATGGTGAATGTGTCGCTCAATTTCGTGGATTAGTTAAAGCTGGACATTAACACCGTTGGATGTCTGTTTAATGGTCTAGTGGTTAAGTGCTCGCGCGCGAAACCAGTAGGTCCTGGGTTCGAATCTCGCATGGGGCGAGTTCGTGGATGGACACTGCTGAGGAGTCCCACAATAGGACGAAACGGCCGTCCAGTTTTTCCAGGTTTTCCATGGTGGTCTAGCTTCAACTAACTCATGATCTTAATCACTGAAATTACTATAATATCCACAAAACCCATCTGATATAATTATATGTCTTTACACTGTTTTTTTTCTTATTTTGCTTCGCTTTTTTTATTGTATAGAAGATGGACTTGTTTGTATACATGTACTACGTATTCTACCATTTGATTCAAAAAGAAAACGTATGTCTATTATATTTCGTCATCCATATACAAATGAACCAATTCTATTTACAAAAGGTGCAGATTCATCAATTATGAATCGTTTAGATAATACAGGTAAATTAATATCAGTGTTATAAAGAATTTAATGAATTTATTTTTTTTTACATAAGTTGTTGGTATATCAAAACAAAGATTAAAGGAATGATAAATTCCAGAACCATTTTCTAGTTATATAATATACTCTTGTGGGTCAGAGTAATTTTACATTGATTTTCAGGAGAACCAGACACCATCCAGACTTTCATGTGACAATCCAAACACCTACAGCTCAATCTCGTTTAACAAGAGAGCCAGGCACCGCTCAGGCTTAAATTTTATAACTCGAGCAGTACAGCTCAATCCCGCTTCACAAGAGAACCAGACATCGTATAGGCTTTAACGCTACAATCTGAATAGTACAGCTCAATCTTGAGTACAGCTCAATCCCGCTTCACAAGAGAACCAGACATCGTATAGGCTTTAACGCTACAATCTGAATAGTACAGCTCAATCTTGTGGCGCAACCACACAGGTACCATGCACCCTGGTGGATCATTCGCACCACTCATATACACATTCACGTCATATTTATAATTATTCCGATCAATGATCGCGTGAATCAACTATGCACAGCACGAACAGGCCAAAGTTGACTTATTTCGCTTACACGACAGTCAAACTCATTAATGTTAGCAATGACGACAAGTATAACAATGTCCCAATGAAAATGGCCCTTAAGAACACTGAAGCGCAACCACCAATATGAATGAAACCGGTTAACCAGTGAACCAATTTTGTGCATGAATAGTCAGCAAAGCTTGTCAAAGCAATGCCGAACCATCCACAATACCAATGGCGAATCTCCAGACTCATATGAGACCTTTAGCTCTACATAGCCATATACCTTATACTGCATACAACACATATGTAGGGTAGTAAGTGAAATAACCCAGACTGAAGCGTTAGGGTTTAAATAACACTTAAAACCCATTGTATGGTGTTGGGATACTATTACTAGACCACCAACATCATTTTTATCGCATTTGCGAAATTTTCATTTTACCGACTTTTCAAATCCTGAGTTAGGGGTAGTATCCCTAGAACCAATTTATAAATCATCATCATTATTATAGAATTATTTTCTTCATTATAAGCTTTTGATTGACCTATAAACTACTATCATAAAACTTACTATTCTTAATTCTTTTTAATCGAGATCATGAACCGATTGATGATGGACCACCATCGAAAACCTAAAAGCACTGGACGGCCGTTTCGTCCTCCTCAGCAGTGCGAATCCACGATCCCACGGGCTGGACTTGATTGGTTGAAGTTAGATATTAACACCGTTGGATGTCTGCTCAGTGGGCTAGAGGTTAAGTATTCGCGCGCATGACTGAAGGCCCTGGGTTCGAATCCCTCTGGCAGGATCATAGATGCGCACTACTGAGGAGTCTCACATCAGGAAGAAACGGCTGTACAGTGTTTTCAGGTTTTCAGTGGTGATGTAGCATCAATCGGTTCATGATCTCAATCAAAAACTTAATAATCTCCACAACCCTATACTGATATTCTTGATTCGTTGTCAGTCTTATTTACAATATCGCCTATTCACAGGCACTTCTGGTTCGTTTATGCATAATTTTTATTTTTCATTTTATGGTGTAGTGAGGTTTGGTATTACTATGTATAAACTACGGCTGTTTAAAATGTAAATATAGTAGTATTTATTATTATTTCCTTGTAAAAGCTTGGACCGAATTGTCAGGCGAAACGTTGGATTGACTTCAAATTCTTTCGCTGAGATTTTGGAAATACATTCTTCCTGTTTAATAGTAGTAATTAGTTGCTGACTTTTGAACTCAAGATAGGATATAAAAAGAGGGTTGCGAATAACGGACTAGTAGGAAGTTAACTGTCGGTTTGAGGTCATTAGTGCTGGTCGTGCGTGTAGTCGGCTAAGTTAGAGACACTAAACTTTAGAATAAATAGCAGGTGCGAAATAGACCGAATTGTCATGTGATATTTGTCAATAGCCATAACAGGTATTGAACTCAGGATCCTATCGCTTCACAGCTTGGACGTCACATGCATACCGCTGAGTTAACATCCAATGATTCAGACATCTAGTGTTAATCAGTTATGAATATGACACAATTGTCATATCGTCCATCGATAATGACCATCTTTGTTCCGATAAGGCTGAAATAATTTATAGATCGCCGCCCACATAGTATATGTTTTTGTATTTAAGTTGATTGATTATTGGTAGTTACGATTGTTTCGAAACATTTATCACTTTTTGTGGACAGTGAGGAGGAATATTGTTCACACAACACGCGCATAGTTTTCGTACAATATATTTCAAATAACTGGATAAAGTCACGTATGCATCTCCCTTATTTATATATAAATCAGATCACAAGTCAGACATGATTGTGATTTGAAACTGGTCAGTTGTAGAGGTTATTATAGGGGTCAAATGAAAGCGAAACTTTTAAAATCAAAATTGTATTACGAGCAAAGATTTACTGTGATATTAAACCACTTAATATGACTAATACACTCACTAATCTGACTGTGAAACGTAGCCTTTGAAATTAGAGGATATTCGTAGGTTACAAGCATTTGTCTTCGAAGCATTACTCTCGTACGTTGGGACTAGTGAACACGTAATAATACTAGGCGAAGACAACAAATCAATTAATAAGATTGTGAATCATCATCTATCGAGGTGTTCGGCACTTTACTACATAGATGAAGCTCTCTAAAGGTCAAGTTAACAATACAATATAATAATATAATGATAATAATTTAATCAGCACATTATTCACTATTCAGTGATCAATCAGTTATAAATAGATCTCAGTCGTACAGAAGGACAGTCGTGCCCTGGATAGCTCAATGTTAACGTCTGTGATTGTGAAGCTGAGTAACATGAAATCGAATCTATCAGGGGACATCATTTCGTTTAATATTACAAGGATTTCTTGCTGATGAGTGCCAAATAACACGAAATCTGGGTTCGGCGTTACTTGTCAACTACATTCAACTCATACCTTGTTTTCATTGTATTCTGAGCCCAGTTTTATTACTTTCTACTAGCTTTTTGTACTTCCTTTTTAAGTTCTGTCGCTGGATCCCTACAACAGACTGCTCAATTTTCAGCCCATTCGAACGCTGTTCCATTTTTAGAAGGTTAATTATCTTCTATGTTCGGATGAGCGGCACCAATAAATTGGCTAAAGCCTCTATACTATCCCTCTATCACAATGCTCATTTTAGGGGAATCTTTCATAATAAAAATGTTGACGCTTCATAAAACAACTCGGAAAATTGAACCGCTGCGGCTTTGGCTTCTTGTTAACTTCCTGACCTAAATCTCTTCAAAATAATTTTTTAATACTCTGATTTCTTCTTCACTCTCTATATCGAATGGTGACTCAGAATGTCAAGAGTAGGTATAAATTCTATGATTTGTACAAAATCTAACGCTGTCAGCTAACGAATTTGCAAGGTAAAATCTTTATATATCATATAAGCTGTTGAAGGTTTGTTAATTGATCTTGTCTCTATCATAAACATCAGACCAAATTAGAACATGAAACTTTCTTTAATTGCATTTGAGTCTACTCATGAAATGCTAAATATTCATGATCAATCATAATAGTTGATGAACTCAAACTTATGTGCAGTTCATTCAGTTTGTTAAAGACTGGCACATACGAATTCGTACTTTTGTCGTTCACTGGAAGGTAAATCGAAAAAATAATTATATTAAATTTTGTAACTTGAGTTGTTTAGGTCTAAATGAACAAAGGCGATGAGTTCTGGAGTGTTTCATATGTATACCAAACAATTCCAGCTTCTAATTTGTAGAAGAGATTCTCTTTTCTCACATTGGCCTTCTATTCAGAACATAGATTTAAAGCCATTCAATGAACTTGGATTCAGTAAGAGTGCCTGACATTCATGGCATAAATGCCAAATTGTCGGCTTCATCGTAATCACAACTGTAAATTGAAGTGATAATGTATATAAAACAAAACAGACAGACGTGTTATTTCTGTTGATGAATGTTCAGTGTTTACCGTGAAATTTCAAGGTTTTAGGCTTGACCTCTACCGGAGTAGTAAATGGTCATTATTGAGGAGTTTAACACATGGATGAAACAACCATTCATTGCTTTTTGATTTTCAATGGTTATGTAAAGAAAAATCAATCATTCAATTGAAAATGTTTTGTGTAGCTTCTTAAGTTCTCATCATTAACTTAATTGACTTTTTGATTTCTTTTATAATCTATAAACTTTCTTGTACCTTAAAAAGGAAGAATGTATTTGTAAAATCTCAGCTATTTCAAGGATAATTCCTTGAAAAAGCTTAGATCAGATTGCCAGGCGAAACATTGGATCTACTTCGAAATTCATTCGCTGAGATTTTACAAATACATTCTACCTCTTTAATGTCTCATACTAACTTGGCGCCAAAATACTGTGAAACTATTCAATCCAATTTAGACGAAAGTTCTTATTTCTATATATCTATATACATGTGTATAACTAATAGATTGAATCCTGTTTTTTTTTTCAAGGATTAAATTCACGTGAATTAATAACTGCTACACAGGAACAAATCGATCATTATTCACGTTTGGGTTTAAGAACATTAGTTATAGCTGAACGAGTAAGCATCACTATAATGTTATATTGATTTGTTTGGTTAATGTCTTTTGTGATGATTTTGTTTTTAGTCTATACTGAAATCACTTGTTGAATCCACAAGCCTTCTACATATAAGTCTGATCCACAAGGCAATGAAGATGCAGTCTCATGGTAACCAGTGACCAACAGTAATTTCATACATCATTTGTTCCCTCAGGATCCTGAAGCCCATGTGGATTATTGGTTTGGAATCAGTGTTTTCCAACTCCTCTAGATAGATCCTACGTGTCCACCAACCCAGTTAAAGCACCAGATATTCGTTTTTCGTCTTTTCGATTTCGTAAACAATACCTCTGCCTCAAGAACGTAGTGAATAGTACTTCCTTGTCAGTGGCTATATACACGTGGCCATGTGAGAGGATTTTGAGAGGGAGAGCGGACCCTCTTCACCCTTGACCGTACTAAGGCATTGGAGGTGAGCTTCGAGTTATAATAACACCATGTCATAGCGTAGATTTTGACCTACTACATAGATAATATAAATAAATGAAATTGAGCAGTTTAATCAAACAAGAAAAGTCATTTAAGCAACTAACTGATTGGATCAGAACAGTTTTTCCTCGGTATAGATCTCGATTTCAACTGAACTTTGCTAGTTACAATAAGCTAACTAATCACGGCTGCAAGATATACGTTCTGATTTATCAACCCATTGAATCGAAAGAATTCTAAATTCCAACTATAAGTTTCATCTTGATAATTCAACGTAGTCATGAAAACAAAGAAATGTAACTAATCAGGTCTATGTGAGCATTATGTAACTCATTCAGATGAATATATATATATATATATGCAAATCAAATCCAAACATCTCTTTCTTAAAACTTCTAGACAAAGCCATCATTCACTCACATTACTTCTAAATTTATCTGCCTTCAGTTAATTGACAATATAGGTATAAGTAGTATACACCACAATAGACCCAATGTAGTTATTCGAGGAAGTCGCACTTCTAACCATTAGTTTACCACCTAATATCTAGTTGGTTCCTATTGAAGTATACATTAAATTCAACGACAGTCTATGTAATACTCTCAAGGATATTTTATTATTATCGGACGTGAACATGTACCCTAATGATCATTTTATCGCATCAAAAGATCTATTGTTTGGATGCTTTTCAGAAAATGCTTCTCACTGTCAGGAAAAGTCAACGTTGTATATTACCATACGTATTAATAAAGTAGTGTTCACATTGAATTTAGATTAGTGGAAAAACAACGAAAATAAGAGATAATTAAACACGTATATTATAATGTGTAGACTTTTAAAAGTATGCACCATTGATCACTTGTGGATATAAATACATACTCCTGGTAATACATCAAATATATCCATGTTCAGCTCTTGATTAAAACTTTTTACCTACAAATAATTTTCTTCCTTATAACTTTTATTATCCACTACTCTTTGGTGACTTTTTTTCAAGACGAGTGTTTCACATCAACTACCTAATTGTGAACGAGAATAAATGGTAATCGTGACATTTCGACGGGTAGATTCCTAAATGCCTCAGTAGTACTATAACCTTAGAAAATCGAAAATATTGTAGGTTCAACAATGTTTGGAGTAGTGAATGTATACTCTCACAAAGTCAGGAATTAGTCAGAATAAACTGTCTTATTGATATAACGGATGGTTTTAAAATACCTTTTCCCTATCTCTGAGGTATACTACTTAATTTTTCTGGTTAGCGTTTCTTTAGCGAATTAGTTTTCTACGGGATGGGGTCGCTAACCCCATGTCCAACCCTCCTCCTTTATCCGGGCCTGGAACCGGCAGTAGCCCCTGAAGGGACTTTAGGCGGAGTTCTGAGGTATACTACGATACTACGTTAATACAATAATGAGACCAGATCATGTTATATCAAATCCAGGATTCACGACTCAGAATAGGGAGCCAAATTAACACTAAATAATACTTTATTCGACACAGTTACACTTAATCACACTCAGTGAGTCCGGAGTTGAAATCAATAAATGGAAAGGAAATTATTTATTGAATTGTCCATAGGCCTAAGTACGTGTTTGTCCACTTACAGTGACCAGTCATATTTCACTTTCACTACTACATATCACTTATACCAATAAGTGTTCTGCAATCTGATGAATGATATATCTTGAATGTTCCAACTACTATAAAATACTTTTTGTTAATTTTCTCCTAACCTATTGTTTTATAACAATCTTTCGATTCATGAATTTGCTCTGTCAGGACATTTATTCCACCGAAATATTAACAAATATTTTTTTAATAGTTGAATTCATGAGTCGACCTAAGCTAGACCACCACTGAAAACCTGGGAGCATTTGACGGCTGTTTCGTCCTAGTATTAAATTCAACAGCAGTGGGCATTCACGATACCACAGACGCAAATTGAACCCAGGACTTTTGGTCTCACGCGCGAACGGTTAAGCTCTATATCACTGAGCCAGCATCCAATCATGTTAATGCTTACCTTCAATCGATTTATGATCTTGCCCAACCTTTCATTCATTGCTTGCGGTGGATAACTATCCCACATCCAAAATGGTTGAATTCTCACGTTAGCGCACGAGATCTAAGGTCCTGGATTTGAGTCCATTTTGATGCGTGGCCGCGGATGCGCACTGCTAAGGAGTCCCATACTAGGATGAAATGGGCATCAAGTGCTTCCAGATTTTCAATGGTGGTCTAGGTTTGATCGAATCATGAATTCAACTATTAAACATTACTACAATCTCCACAATCCTCCATTCTGGAATTATTTTTTTTATAAAAAGATTTTATATTGTAATCACCTTATCTCATATTTCAAGTAGCAAAACAACATACAATACTGATTTGTTTTGAACAGTTTTGCGAATTGATTATTCAGACAAATTTAACAAACTATACCGTCTACAAAAGTGCTCGAATTCAAATTGACAAACCCCACTATAGCTCGTGAAAAGATAATCCATAAGTATCAAAAGAAATTATATCATACAAGAAAATCTTTACTCTGAATTGAAAAGAAAGGAAGTAGCCAGACTTTTAGAATTCCTGTGATGAAATATGATTGTGTATTTGCACCAGTTTTATGGGTTCTTAATTGATTTCTCACTTACTTACGCCTCTAACTTCTAATGGAGCATAGGCAGCCGCCCAGCATTCTCCAACCCACTAAGTCTTGTATCTTCCTTCCTTGTTCTATCCAATTTTTGTTCATTTTTCTCATGTCTATCTCCATTTCTCGGTGTAATGTGTTCTTTGGTCTTCCTCTTTTCCTTTGGCCTTGAGGATTCCATGTGAGGGCTTGCCATTAGACGCAGTTGGATGCATGCCTCAATGTGTGTCCTATCCACTTCCAGCGTTTCCTCCTGATTTCTTCCTTCGTCGGAATCTGGTTTGTTCTCTTTCACAGTAGGTTCTTGCTAATAGTGTAGTGTGTTGCCAAAGGATCCAAAGTATTTTGCGTAGACAACTGTTAATAAACACCTGTATCTTGTGGATGATGGATTTTGTAGTTCTCCAAGTTTCCACCGCATACAGTAGAATTGTCTTGACTATTGTATTGAAAATTCTGACTTTAGTATTGGTTGACAAACAGTTGTTTTGAGTTACAGATGTTCTTTAATTGTAGATTTCTACTAAGGTCATTAACCAATTATATTCTATTATCCTGAAGTTGTGCAGTATCTATATCAGTTTTTATCTGTTTACAGGTTTTCGGCTTATAGGATTATTTCCATACAGTTCATTATAAATATATATCAGTTTTTTACCAGTCTTTTCTTTGCAACAGTTATTGACAGAAGATGAACTTCATGAATGGTTAAAAGAAGTCTATGAAATAGAAACTGGAAATGAAAATTCAACAGAAGCCATGATGATAATGATGGACAAATTAGAGCGTAATTTTATTCTTTTAGGTAAGAAAACAAAATTTATTTATAAACCTAACTTTTGTGTGACCATTGTAATTAGTACAAATTTCAATTTTCTAAAAATGAGGATTAGTACACTCTAAACTTTGCTGGAATTATCTCAACAATCAGAAACTGTACGTAATTTCTTAGAGTATCGGTATAAGATATGCCAGCTGTAGTCTTTGACTTATCAACTTTTATGATTACTTACTTACTTACGCTTGTTACTCCTCGTAAGGGAGCATAGGCCACTCACCAGCATTATTCATCCAACCCTGTCCTGGGCAATCCTTTCCAGCTCTTTCCAGTTGTTTTTCATCCTTTTCATATCTGATTCCATTTTCCGATGTAATGTGTTCTTTGTCCTTTCTCTTTTCTGCTTCCTATTAGGATTCCAAGTTAGGGCTTACCTTGTGATGCAGTTTGATGATTTCTGTAATGTATGTCATCTATTTCCATCGTCTTTTCCTAATTTCTTCTTTAGCTGGAAGTTGGTTCGTTCTCTTACATGGGCTGTTACTGATGGTATCCGGCCAATGTATGTTGAGTATCTTGCGTAGACAACTATTTATAAATACATTTACCTTCTTGATGATGGTTGTAGTAGTTCTGAAAGTCCCGGTTCTGTATAGTAGAACTGCCTTGACGTTGGTATTGAAGATTCTTACTTTGATATTGGTTGAAAGTTGTTTTGTGTTCTATATGTTCTTCAGTTGTAAGAATGTGACCCTCGCCTGTCCAATCCTCGCATTTAAGTCTACATCAACTTTTATAAACAATAAGAATTTGATTATGACATCAGCTTTAACAGATAGATACATTTTTCATCAGCGATGATCATATTTTATGCGTGGCCTACAATTAAAACAGGATATTTTTCGCTTCTAATAATTTAATTGGTGGGTGGTATTTTTCATAAACTAACTTCAGTTTAAGTGTGGTCAAGTGATTACCGATAGTTTTAAACGTTCTGGTTTCGATCCTTAGAGAGGTCGTATGTGTACAATGCAGATATGTTTCAAACCATGATGAAATAGCTACTGAGTGTTCTCTAGTTTTCAGTGAGATCTTAACTGAATTCAATTTGTAAAGAATTCCACTGACAAATTAAACCAATCTTCACATAACACTTCATTAGTATTTATCGTTTAATTTTGAAGTTTCTTGTTATACTTTCTCAATACTGTTTGGAGAACTCATTTCTAATGAACAGTTCATAACTAGATCATATTTAGATCACCAGTTGGAAGATTTGAATTTTCATTAATATTACAAATGAGTAGCATTTTTTCTGGTTAGCGTTTTTTAGCGAGTTAGTTTTCTACAGGATGGGGTCGCTAACACCATGCCCAACCCTCCTCTTTTATCCGGGCTTGTAACTGGCAGTGGCCTCAGAGGGGCTTTAGATTAGCATTAAATTCTGAAAAATCAGTTTCACCCTATTTGAAACTGAAAGATTAACCTAGTATTCACATTTAAAATTTGATGGAGTCAATCACTATAACTCTCATTTCGAACCTTGTTGGGAACATGAACGCTATAATTCATAAATATTCAATCGAGAAGTTTGAATAATTATTATGTAAAATATTATTTATGGCTTAAAATCATCTAAATCAATCTGTTGAGTTTCACTTGCTAAACGTTTAATCATCGTTTCAAAGTTCAGATAAAATCTCATTAATAACAAAAATTTTCAAAGATTATTTGTTAAACTTTTATCAGTGTCCGAATTATTTAGACACTAACACCGTTGGATGCCGGCTCAGTGGTCTAGATGTTAAGCGTTCGCGTGCGAGATCCGAGGTGCTGGATTCGAGTCCCGAGTACGGGATCGTGGATGCGAATCGCTGAGGAGTTCCATATTAAGACGAAGTCGTTGACTCGAAGTTACCCCTGTTGGCCTCCAATGGACAGGTTTATCAAAAACAAATGACCCGACTGTTCGTCTCATCTGCAAGCTGCTAAAAACCATCCACAGCCTTTTGGACCCTGGGAGAGACTTCACTCAGATTTCGCTGATCCAGTCCCAGGTGTTGTTTACAAAATCGAAAAGACGAAAAGAGAATATCTGGTGCTTTAACTGGGTTAGTGGACATGGAGGATCCATCTAGGGGAGTTGGAAAACACTGATTCCAAACCAATAGTCCACATGGGCTTCAGGATCCTGAGGGAACAAATGATGTATGAAACTATTTTTGGTCACTGGCTACCATGTGACTGCATCTCCTTACGTTGCTCCACTGTTTTGTGGACTGGACCTTTAAATCAGAGGCTCCGGGTGTGACCTCCTTAGAAAACTACCTATTTCGGTTTGAGCACCCGGACAGTATCACGGCTCAACCACACATCAAGTGACTTGTGTAGCGCATACTTATTCGGTGCCTCTGTGTGCCAGTATTTATGCGCTTAAATAAATAAATAAATAATGTTGCTAGTTATTGTGGATGCATCTAGGCAATGGCCAGACGTATATAGTATACCTACCTGTGTACAGCCCCAGAAACAACCATCAAGTTGTCTACTTTGTTTAGTTGTTTCGGAATTCCAGAGACCTTAGTGACAGACAATGATTCACAATTCATTTCGAACTCATCCAAGCACTTCTGTGGTATTGATGGAACGACACATCTACGCTCTCCATCCTACTATCCCTAATCGAGTGGACGGGCAGAACGCTTTGTCGAGATCTGAAAGTTTTCATTACTTTTAATTTTAGCGTTTCGTATAAGTCCATTAATCCTATGCCGTTTGCTGATGTTTCTGTTTCAAGTTCTATGTCTTTTCCTTTGACGTTGCGATGGTTAGTGTGTAAATCTTGACTTAGTCTGCAGTTAAAGTCGTTTAGTATTATTATAAAGTGTCTATTTACTCTTACTTATTTAATCGCTTGTTGAAGTTTTTGGTAGAACTGTTTCTTTCTGATATCTTCATTAGAAGACTCAGTTGGTGCATAACATCCTATGAGACTGATAGTTCGATTTAAGTTCTTACAGTGTATTTTAATGGTAGCTATTCTACCACAATATTCATACCGAATAATCTTATGTAGTCTCCAGCCATAGTTGCTCTGACTGGCAACACGTCGTACCTACACAAGATAACAATCGGAGACCACTACGACCATATGCTATTGTGTTTGAATGATTAGACAGCTCGGCTGGCGACAACCAGTGGATTCGCAGAAGACAATCTACTATCTCGTAACTGGGAGACTCCGGAAGAATGGTTTTCTGTGCCTGAGTTCATTCAGCTTTTAGGGTCAAAACTTCACACTCGATTTTACCTCCTCACTTTGTATAACTATGGAAAGCGGGTAATATAAGTGAATCAGATGGAAGACCATAATAACTGATTTGGTGGTTTTTTCACCCTAAACGCTGTAGTATTATTCAACCATCCATTCCGAATTTATATAACATTATATCCTTGTTTTGAATTACTATCTCCTAGGTGCTACAGGTATAGAAGATCGTTTACAAAATGGTGTACCAGAAACTATTGACGCGTTACGTGAAGCTGGTATGCATGTATGGATGTTAACAGGTGATAAGCAAGAGACTGCAGTGAATATTGCTCGTTCGGCTAATCTGATTACACCACAACATAGAGTAATGTATATTAATTCACGTTCAGAGGTATGAGTTTATTAACAACATGATTGTTTACATTACATGGTTTTCATATTAGTGTTTAGACACAAATTAAACAACACAAATTGGTTGAAATTAGACATTAACACCGTTGGATACAGGCTCAGTGCTCTGAAGGTTAAGCGTTCGTGTGCGCACTGCTGAGGAGTCCCGTAATAGGACGAGACGACCGTCCTGTGCTTTCAGGTTTTCGATGGTGGTCTAGCTTCAATTGACTCATGATCTCAAACATTGTAATAAAAATCTATCTGAACTTTCATTTCATCTACATAATCCTAGAGTTAAATGTTATCCTAGTAAACTTCTAATCATAATAATATTTATACTATTGAATTATATATATGAAATATGGAAATCCTTCCAATTCTCTATCCATACAACATCAATTAAACAAAATAACGACACATTTTCAATTTAGAAGAGCTGTATGTAAAATGCTTAGTTGTTGATATTATTTGACAACAGGACGAACATTTCTAACACTGACTCATCGTGAATAATGAACGAAGATAATTAGTTTCTTTCCATGTACTATTAGCTACTCCTAAGTTGAATAGACCACATTTTGCAGAATCATCATTTAACTGATGAGATAAGGAGACCTTTAACATCGGTTAAGAACAAGGAGTACTCATGGTATACAGATTTAGATCACTAAATTATCATAAATCTCCAGTAGATCTCACGAACATCATGTTAAGTTGTATCTATAGACACAATACTTCCTTTTCATTCTAATCGCTTGATACCGTGCCAAACATACACACACGAAAATTCATGTTTGTTGATCTACTTTAACAGAGTGATAATATTCAGAAAACTAAAGTGAAATGTAAAATGGTGGTTAAAGATAGTTGACAAGAAATACTACTTGACCTAGTTTTCGTGTTATTTGCCACTCATCGGCAATGTATACCTGCAATATTGAGGGCGGGTTTCTAACGATTTTCTCTAACCACCATCACTACCTTACATCTCAATGTAATTCACGTAGTTTCAGATCGCAACTTGATCAGTAAGATTTTATAAGCGCTGAGAAGGATTTCACATCCATCACATTGGTCAATACTCAGTGATCAAAAAGTTATAGAATGGAGTGTAAAAAAGAGAATTCCCCCTCAACTAATCATATTAATAATGAAGGAAAGTGGTAATTTGTTTGCCGGTTTGGGTTTGTTATATCTAGAGCTTATAATCTTGATATGCCGCGTATAACTTTAGCACTCGAACTCTAGAACCCTCTCAAGTCACAAATGAGAAGACAGAAGACAAATGAAAGGAATGTTTTTCCAACCAGTGTCACTTATGGTACAAAACTGTCAAGTATTTATAGTTTTTAGTAAAAACGAAATCATCATTATAGTTATCCAATCCGCATACAGGGGGTTATTAGCATTGTCCAATAGGGAAGCTACATGTAGTGATTTTGGAATATTCTTCCAAAAGATGATTGGATAGAACATCATCGGCTCTTTCTGAGGTTCTTAGAGCTTCCTCGGGTTTACCCGTGGACCGCCCTCACACGATTATATGATTATAAGACGAAGATGATCAGAATTATGCAATATATATCAGAGCAATATATTTAGAATAATCTGATCGCATATATACTTGTATATATTATGAAAAAATAAAAGATCAACTAGACGAATGAAAGGTTAAGGAAATTTTGATGGAGTTTTGTTCTCTGAGCTGGATGGTTTGGTCGTGTATTTTCGGATCCTGTAGTGTTCATCCGTTATCATTAGGTGTACCATTTTTCTTCTAATTCGCTCAGCTATCCTCCATCCTAATGGGCAGTTGATTGGAGGTCTATATCTTACACATATTGGTAGAGCATGCTGGCGAAGACACTCGTGGAGAAAATCCAGTTGTTCTTGAGTGGAAGCCTGCCTTTTGGCGAAATTCTTCCATTTTCGATTAACCAGAAGCGTATTACGCTCATATGATTTTTTGATGTTGGAAAAGATTTCTAGCTCAGGTGGATGATTTTGACAGAGTTTTGTTCTTTGAGCTGGATGGTTCGGTCAAGGAAATAAAGATATTAAGGAAAATAATATGATAAAACAATGGAAAACACACCATGCTCTATAATAAATCAATATTAACAAGGTTGAACAAACTTTTTGAATACACAAATAGGGTTTGAATTTTCGTACGACATATAAACCCTAGACAATTTTTTTTGTCGAAAAACTACCAATTCTGAGTTAAGATCAATTTTATCGTCTACTTTACTTATGTGTTTCGCAATCGACGAAAATGGATGTTTATCATCTACTCTCATTGAATCACTTGCTCATATTTGGTTCTTTAACAATTTTGGTACATGTTCAAAGACCCCTTTCTTGTAAATCTCGAATATTATTCCCTAATTATGTTAAGCCACAGACATGTGAATGTGATGCAATTAATTATATGTAATTTAGGTGTTTGGTAAAGCATAGACCTTGTTTATTCAATGATAATGATGTTTACTGCTTAGTACGTTTTACCAATAACTGATTTGAGCTTTTGTTTCAACACAAGGCTATTTGACTTACATCTAAATGTTAAGGTGATGTAGTTAGGTTACATCGGTGCTAAAAGTATAGGTCTCACCTTATGTGACCTATCAATCGATTTATGAATGTTAGGGTATAATCACTCTGCATTAAAGTTTTGTTTAATAGTCACATTCTCAATAATGTCATATGGTTAATCCTACTCAGTAAGCACTTTATCAAGCCTTTCTTGTACTGAACTGTACAACAACTATAAAAACTAAGATACTGATCTGTCCAAGTTGACTTTCTAAAAACGAGTTATTTTTGTTTGAACCATCTTCTTTTCAACTTTTAAGTGCATCTAGGATAGGAATCTGGTTATTCTTCTATTCACATGATAGACTGATTTGGTTTTGCTGTGTTAAATTTATTCAACAAACAATTTGCATCTTTCGTCTTATTTTAGATAACTAAATTATCATCCTTATATCTCTTATAAAGGCATATTATTTTACAATAGAACTGACCATAACAACTTCATCAATCTATTGAACATCTTTGCTTTCAAATGTGATTCCTACTTTGTCGGTGCATTTATCAATATTCTTAATAAGTATATATGTGATTAGATTGTTTGAAACGTATTGTGCTAATATGTTACATAGTTCTGATAATCTTTGTCTTCTTATTATACTACCCAGATTTATCAAACGGACTAACTGTTTTGGTATGTGTTTACATTATTCTGTTATCGTTGTTAAGGCTAGTATAATATTGTCATTTGTGCATCCTGTGAGGATTGCCTCGATATTGTTCTTTGTCATAAGACTTTATAAAGTTGGATTTTTACAAGTAACGTAATCCTAAGCTTGCCTTTCTTTTGAAATACTGAGCAAAACGATCGTAAATCTCATCATCCAGCTACATTTAAAACGACCCTGGAGCATTGATTGAAGTTGAAACAGTGTACTACTAGATCCCAACCCACTGATTTGATAACTAATAAATCCCCACATGAGCTGAGGATCGTACTTTCGGCCTCTGAAAGGGTCCGTGTTGCGCATCCCTGAGTAATCTCATACTTGAAAGAAACACCTGTTCAGTGGCTCATAACTTTCAGCGGTACGCTAATTGAGATTATTAAACCATAAATAGCACCTACAATTTATAAGAATTTTCACAAAATCACTTCACTGAAAATAGTTATTATATTTATTCGGACACAGAAATATTGGTACAAGGAGGCACCAAATATATATGCACCACACAAATCATTCGATTTGTATGACGGCTGGAATACTGCCTAGGTACCCAAACCACAGCAGCTGGTTTTCGCAGCCTTTGACCTAGAGGTGTAATCTGCAAGCTGGGGAAATGACGTTAGGAGTTGCAGTCTCATGGTAGCCGGTGACTAATAATAGGTTCACATGCCATTTTCCCCCCATGATCCTGGAGCCCATGCCCACCATTTGTTTTGCAATAAGCGTTTTCCAACTCCCCTAGATGGATCCTCCATGTCCACCAACCCAGTTAAAGCACCAGATATTCGCTTTTCGTCTTTTCGATTTCGTAAACAACACCCCAGTACCACCAGAAGGTAAGTGAGTAAGACTTCCGTGATAGTGGTTTTATACGCATGACTATGTGAGGGCATTTGGAAAGAGAAAGCGGGATCTCCCCAACCTCGACTGTATCAGGGCATTTGGGGAGTTTGTTTCTCATTTCCAAAATTTTGATGTTTAAATAATATCACATTTGTCATAATGACTAATTTAATATTAATCAAGGTTTACAAACTATACATTTGTTCGTATATCATTAGACATTAACATCGTTGGATACCGATTCAGTGGTCCAGTAGGTTAAACGTTCGCGCACGAGACTGAAGGGTCTTGGTTTGAATCCCGAGAGTGGGATCATAAATGTGCACTACTGAAATGTCCGACAATAGGACGAAACATCCATCCAGTGTTTCCAGGTTTTCAATGATGATCAGTTCATGATCTCAATATAAAAAAATCATATCTTATTAGTTTAATTCATTATTTTAACTAGTCAATTTATTTCATGTAATTATATATTATCTCTTTCTTATTATTTTTTAGGCTCGTATAGAATATCTTTTAAATTCATATTTATACAATATTATTAGTGGACAATTATGGGATTGTTCTAATGAATTAGATGATAAACTTGAAAAATTTACTAATCCACGTTATTCTAATTCTCAACAACAACAACAACATCAACAACACAATAACAAAAATCATCAAACTAATCATAAATCTAAAAGAAAATCTAATTTGCATCGATCATCTTCACATTCACCACATCGTAGTCGTACTATACATCGTGTACGTATTATACCTACACAAAAACCATCTTCATTACCACGTGATATTACTTATTTTCATGAATATAATAATACTACTACTACTAATAATAATAATAATAATAAAAAAACAAAACAAAAAATTTTTTTTAATTTTTCAAAATTTCTTAAATATTATCGTTTGTTGACAAGACAACAACATCATCCTAAACGTAAAGTAACTAATTATAAAAGGCATAGCAACAATAATCATAATATGGATAATTATATTCCATTAGCTTTAGTAATTGATGGTGAAAGTTTAAATTATGTATTAAATAATGAAAGAAATAAATCACAATTTATTAAATTATGTGATATGTGTACAAATATTATATATTGTCGATCAACTCCTGGACAAAAAGTAATTTCATGGATTTATTTTGATGTTTGTTTTTATTTGGTTTTTTCCATTGTTATTTAAGACTGTAATGAATCAGTTTCTTGGTGGAATACAGTGGTCTTGAGTGCTGTTAGAGGTATGAGGACGGCGGTTATCACTTCCCGATTGCTCACACCGTGAAAGGTTTCTTATGGAGGTACCTGAAACGGGAATTGGATTAGAGGTGGTCTTAGTGACCTAAGAGCGTGACTGCAATGCACAAGGGACAACTGCTTGAGGTCGGTCACGCACGAACTTTTTGTGAGTAATTTTCGTGTTATCTCCGTACTTGTTGAGACCTCACCGCCGGAGACGAAGTGTGCATTTTTAGGGTCGACCTTTTCTAACCCCACCCCTCCTTGTGGTAAGGCAGCACCGCTGTCATGCTGGTTATCTGAAGGAAATACCTTACTGCTGTCACACCTTTGTACAGTGAGCAGTACAACTTCGCCTTCAGACCTTTGGTTTGCTGCTTTTAGTCTTACCGTTCTTCAACCGACCCGTCTGACATGATAGGACCTTGAGGAACGATTGTTGCAGCCAGTATAGCTTGATTGGTTCATGACGATAGGCAAGCCCGACCACCGCGTCAAGGTAGCAACAACGGCTCAGAATCGATTGCAATGGCGTAAGTGTATACACTCACTGTCTTCCCTTAAACTAAGACATTGAAATCACTTCATATCTTTCTTCCTACGAACTAATTCTTTCTTCTTGTACTATATCCTTATATGCAGTCTTTCTCTTATATATTACCATCATTACTGAATTAACTACTTTTATGAATCCGGTGTTCATCTTGTTGTGTTAATGAGGTATGGCAACTTGGGCCGATGCATGTATGTGTTTGATCCTACGTTGTAGCTGACTGACTCTCTTGTTGGTACATGTGCATTCTGTGTGGATTGTCTCGGTTTAGCCTTAAGTCACAAGCTTTCTTTAAAAGTAAATATGGATAGTGACTAGCAGTGTAATCCAGGATACGAGATAATTGGTTATATTTCGGGACATGTCACCTGGATGGATGTACCTGCATCTCAGAGTTGATGTTCTTTCTGGGACTCGAAACAAGTACTGTTCGTTTTTAAATACTATCACGTTATCCATTTAACTACTGAGTCCTGATTTTGTTTCTTTAATTGGTTTGAAAGTAATTATCACCATGAATTAAACTTTTTAAAGTAGTCAATAATTGTTCGCTTTCTTTACATTTCTAAAGTTGTATGGATTTGATTTTTTTTTGTTGTTGGTTGGATATACTTGGAAAGTATTAAAGTAAGAAAAACTCATCTTTTTACCATGGTGTGTAAGTATAATATCAATAAACTTGCGCTTTATGAAGTGTGATCTTTCGAAAGTAAAAGATATCTGATCATATAGTGCGATCACTGAATAAGTCATCCTATAGTCATACAGTGGATCAACAAATAGATAACGGCAATCGTCTATGATAATCATCCATAAACAACAGTTTGTTCTTGTCAAGTAACAACTTTTAGAGTAAGTGTTACATCCGCTTGGTTTATCATTTATACTTAAAAACGAGAAATCATTGCAATTTCTATGATGCGAAGTAAAAACACTAAGACCGATACAAGTAAAGATTCATTAATTCTGAAACATAACAACGACCATGATCGAAAATACATTTATTTATTCATTGATTGTACACTCATTTTGATTATTAATTAGAACAAAATCATATTTATGAAAACTACTTCGAGTTATAACACTTGAACTGATGATGTGAAGTGTAGTGAAATAGTTGAGCGCGTCGACCATTCCAATTATCTCAGGAGTCTTATCAGCCCCATTGGGTTTTATGAAGAAATCTACCGTCTGTTTCGACGCACGATAATGGGGGATGTAGGGGTAAGTTGGAAGAATTAATAAGTAGTGTGTAGGTCATTTTCGGTATGACTCATCAATCAAGTACACATTGGTATTTAAGTAAGGTGTTTTCTTGTCAAAAAAAAATTGATATTGTTTAATTCCTTCTAAATGAAATGACTAAAACAGAACGTAAACGAGGGAAATCGATCGTTAGAGATCAAGCGCTTTATTCACCAAGCTACTGCTCTATTCCCTCGGATATTAGTGTTCTTATGTATCTATGCATATTGACTATTTATTTGTTTTAAAATGTCATGAATACATACCATAATACTTTAAAGATTGTTAATGATTCAAAAGAAATATCCCTATATCTGATCATAGACATTTTGTACTCTGTATCACTTAATAAATAAATAAATAGTAGTTGACACTTATTAAAAGTTGCAAATAATAACGTGATCAAATTGAACTAGTAAGATGCAAAATTCACTTGGTATTGTTTACTTGAATCTTCTCATTGATGTGTTAGGACTGTAACTGATCAGTCTCTTATTGGTATATAAACATACTGTGCGTATTGCCTCGATATTGCCTTAATTTACAAGTATTCTAAGCAAAGATAAATATTGGCTAGCAATGGAATCCAGGACACGCGTTTCGTCCTATTTGGACTTTTGAAGCGAATTGTACTGGGTTCGAGTTCCAGAGTGAACATCAACTTTGAGGTGTAGGTACATTCGGATGACGAGTCCCAAATAGGTCGAAACTCACGTCCTGGTTTCCACTACTAATCACTCTCCATCTTTGCTTATTAATGAGATGAATTGAAAAGACTAAACGAAGATAATTGAGGACTGAAAATATTTGCTTTCTCATATCTTTATTGTCTACTTATTAGACATTGATTTGAAAGAACAAATCAGTTAAAAATTATCTGAGTAATTCAACTGCATGATCTGAGTTTTTCAGACCTACTTTATACTGATAGACCATGTCCTTAAAAATCGAATTAGTTAATGAGCTTTAAAATTATTTTGACAAAATAAAGAAGTTATCAGAAAGGGGTTTTGTGGATATTATAGTAATTTAATAGTTGAGATCATGAGTCAATTGAAGCAAGACCACCATGGAAAACCTGGAAGCAGTGGACGGCCTTTTTTTCCCTAGTGTGAGACTCCTCAGCAGTGCGCATCCACGATCCCGCCTCGCGAGGTTCAAATCCAGGACCTATCAGTCTCGCGGGCGAGTGCATCTGGAAAAATCGTCAACGTCATCCGGAATTCATACAATGAACTACACCGCAAGGTGGTGCATGGAGTACAGCTGACAAACGCATTCCAAGTGACAAGCGGAGTCAGTCAAGGTTGCTTACTCTCGCTCTTTCACTTTCTTCTAGTAGTTGACTGGATTGTGAAGACCTCCACATGTGAGGAGAAGCACGATATACAATAGACAGACTGGATGTAACTAGGCGAATGGACTTTACAGACAACCTGCCTCTTCTAACCCATACATACAAACAATTGCAGATAAAGACAACTAGTGTAGCAGCAGTGTCTGAGGCATTAGGCATCAACACTCACAAGGGAAAAAGCAAGATCCTCAAATACAACCTGGAGAACACCAACCCAGTCGCATTTTATGAAGAAGCTCTGGAAAATGTGGAAACTTTCAGGTACCTGGATAGTATCATCATCGATGAACAAGGAGGATCCGATGCAAACGTAAAGGTGAGAACTGGCAAAGCAAGGGAGGCATTTCGGCAACCGAAAGACATTTAAAACTCAAAATGACTGCCAACTAATATCAATGTGAAAATCTTGAATATGAACATCAAGACAGTTCTGCTGTACGGAGCTGGAACGTCGAGAGCTACGACAACCATCATCAAAAGAGTACAAGTATCTATAAATAATTGTCTACACAAGATACTAAATGTGCGTTGACCTGATACCACCAGCACCTTCGAGCTGAAGAAAGAATCAAGATAAGACCCTGGGGGTGTACAAGACATACATTGCGGGAACCATCAAACTGCATCATGAGGTAATCCGTTAGTTTGGACCCTGAATGGAAACGAAAAAGAGAAAGGCAAAGAACACAGTGCACCGAGAATTGAAACCACACATGTAAGGTATGAATTACAACTGCAACCAACTGGACTGTATTGCTTAGGACAGAGTTGGATGGCGAATGCTAGTGAGTGGCCTATGCTCCTTCATGAGTGGTAACAAGCGTAAGTAAATCATCATATCAATCTTCTAGAAATATTTCGCTTTTTATATAAAAATGAAAAAATATTATATCTGATAACAAATTTTTATTTATTTATTTAGGCCGCTGTAGTTAGTTTAGTGAAAGATCAATTAAATGCTCAAACATTAGCTATTGGTGATGGTGCAAATGATGTAAATATGATACAAGTAGCTAATGTTGGAATTGGTATTAATAGTGGTGAAGAAGGTATGCAAGCTGTTATGGCATCGGATTTTGCTATTAGTCGATTTTATTTACTTAAACAATTATTACTTGTACATGGACATTGGTGTTATGATAAACTTGCACATGCTTCTTTGTATTTATTTTATAAAGATGCAGTAAGTTATTATAATTTCAATGAATATTCTGTATTATTATTATCTTATATTATAATTCCTATATACAGTAATGTTTTTAAAGCTATATCGTAATGAAGGAGAACATAGGCCAGGATAACCGGATTCGAGGTAACACGATCATTACAGAGTTACTTGGTAAAATAGAAAGACCATACTATAATACTTAATTTGCAAAATGTTCAATAATTGTCTTGGACTTCATTGTTTTCGCATTTCTATACTAATTACTTTCTATTCCCATTCTTCCTTTCTTGATCTTCCCAATTTTCTGCTGCCAGACATTAAGTTCCTAACTCGCGTTATATACTACTTAGGTCAATATAAGTAGCACGTACCACAGTGTAACTTTAGGTATTCATTCAAAAGGGCATAAATGAATAATGGTGATCATTGATATAAGGAATAACATTTTAAATAATGTGAAATATGTTCAATTGATCCTCTTTCATAAAATTCCTTCTTAGAAAGATCAATGTAGTCAAAAGATGCTATACGGGTTTTAGTTAAATTATTGATAGGTTGAAAACGAATATTCCGTTGAAGAAATCCAACAAAAGAAAGTAAAAGAAGGTAGTAGTAGTAGTAGTACTTATTGATTTGGTCATAGAATATTACAAAAATAGATCGATACTAGACTATCTAAATGGTATAGCATATGGATATTTTTTTAACATTTACAACTTAATATTAGAGGGGGTTTTGTGGATCTTATAGTAATTTCAATGGTTGAGATCATGAGTCAAAAATTCGGAAGCAGTGGAAAGCCGTCTCATTCTATTTTGGGACTTCTCAGCAGTACCCATCCACGCCCTCGTCTCGAGAGATTCGAACACAAGACCTATTAGTCTCGCGCGCAAGCGTTTAACCACTAGACCACTGAGCCGGCATCAAACAGTGTTAATGTCTAACTTGAACTAACCCACGAAATTTGGTGACACATCGATCATCGTCATCAGTGAGTTACTATCTTACAACAGACCTGGTTGAACTCCACTGGCAACTGTTTCTCACTAGAACTCCAGGATATACCTTTTAAAGCCAGTCACTAATGAGCACATGTTGATTAATCTCAGAAAGGATTTTCATAGATAAAGTTGTTTAAATCTTGTAATTTCCTTTTGCTCTACCTACCGTCTATCTTGAAAAGTGTTGAGGATACTATATCCCTAGAAATCATTTAGTAAATGTCTGATTTTTGTAATTTTATCTTGGAAATGTGAATTTCTCATTTTTGTGCCAAAAGCGTCCATTTTTACCGATCAGATTATATTTTCCACTTGGAAGGACCTTAAGTGTCATTGGTTCGTTACCCTTTTCAATACGTTTCCGAAGGACCCTTTTATATTGTATATATACTCTTTAGTTGTATGCTCGTCGTTCGTGCTTTCTATCTGTTTGTGGAATATACCTTACAGTCTATTCTCCCTCTAGTTAACGAAACTAGGACTCATCGGAATAGTTTAGCGTGTTTTGTCGCTGACCTTTCATTCAGTTTGCCGGCTTAGATATTCTCGTAATCTCTTCAAACATAACAGGAAGTGAGAGTATAATGAATAAATTTATATTTTGAATGAACTGCTGAGGAGTTCCACAGTAGGACGAAACGCCGTCTAGTACTTCCGCGTTTTCAATGGTGGTCTGACATTGATCGGTTCATGAGATCAATGGAAAATATATATGGTGGCCTAGCTTCAATTAACTCATGATCTCAACCATTGAAATTACTATAATATCCACAAAAACCCCTTCTGATATTAATCAACATATGCTCACTAGTGACTGGCGGCTTCAAGAGGAATTCTAGTGAGAAGCAGTGATCAGTGGAGTTCAACTAGGTCTGTTGTGAGATAGTAACTCACTGATGACAATGATGAATGTGTCGCCAAATTTCGCAGATTATTTGAAGTTAGACATTAACAACGTTAGATGCTGGCCCAGTGACGTAGATGTTAAGCTCTCGCGCATGAGACTGATAGATCCTGGATTCGAATTCCGCGATGTGGGATCGTGGATGAGAAGTCTCACAATAGAATGAAACGGCCGTCCAGTGCTTCTAGGTTTTCTATAGTGATCTAGTTTCAATTGACTCATGATCTCAACCATTGAAATTACTATAATCTCCACAAAACCACTTCTTATATGAAATATATATGTATTTTTATTCAGGTTTAGGTAAGTTTGAAGTGAATTTGTATTTATATATTGACATATAGAATTCTTGTACAAGATATATATATATTCTTTATTATTTTATAGATTTATATATTTCTATTATTCTGGTTTCAAATGTTCAATGGTTTTTCCGGTAGTAATGCAATTGATCAATTATCACAAATATTATTTAGTGTTACAATGACTAGTTTACCACCATTTATTATGGGTATTTGGGATAATCCATTAGATGATAAAACTTTATTAGCTAATCCTATATTATATAGATCTGGAATAAATGGTAATGTAAGTATAAATAGTGTCTTAATTGTTATCATGTATTTATTATTATTATTATTTCGATTTGGCAAGACTATAATCTATGGATGATCTTTGAAGGAATCCTAAGCGACCTTGAGAAATATCAGTCAATCAGCAAACAGTCAGTATAGAGTAAAAATATATTATACAAAACCGAAGAAATAAAGTAGATACACTTCTTAGACGTGGTTCAAAAACTTGTCAAGATTAGAAAGAAGTTCAGAGGTTCTAAAATCGTAATACATGAAGTAGAGGAAATCATCTATATGGCTACAGTAAAGTCTGCCTCTGGAGCCATGATAAAGTTTCAAAAACTCTTACAGCTTCGACCATATAGTTTAAGTATTTTTTGTGTGCATTCCAGTAGTTCGGTTCACAAAATGTCACTTATGGATAACGACACGATGCACATAACCAAGCCTATGTAGGAATCTGTACGCTCTCCAAACATCCGTATATATTGTAGTACCTGGTAGCAGCCAGTGTTACTGGTGCTTTTATTATCCAGTTCGCAACAACTGTCATAATTTCTCTTAGTTCCAATATGGATCGGGAGAAGAAAATTCTATTCTAGCAGACTTCTTCCTCCAATACATATTACATCGAGAGACAACATCATCACGGTAGTCTGTGCAAGGTCCACAAGTCATTTGATTACAACAATCACAAATAAAGGAACTTTTATAGTAGTACCATATATTGTAGTCGCTCTGAACAGATCGTACGTAAGCATCAGGTACTGAGATTGATGCCGTGACCTTGAAATCCCTGAGGCGCTTCTGATTGGCCCGTCCATAAATTATAGTCTCGCGACATTTCATTCTAATCAATTGGCTTACCTTAACTTAAGTGATTTTGTATTCGCTAACTTTAATGCTCCCAGAAGTTCAAAGTACTTGTCGAAATTTAGCAAAATATGTTGAACCTTTACAGTTTCTTAATTGTAGTATATTTACAAACTTCAATATGGTACTTAAATTGGTAAGTTGAATGTTTTACAATGTATTCACAAATGAAGCGAACGGTAATGAGTTCGAGTCCCAGAGTGAACATCAACTCTGAGATGCAGGTACATCCACCTGACGAGTCCCAAGCAGGACGAAACGCGCGTCCTGGATTCCACTGCTAGCCACTATCCATCTTTGCTTATAATGCTTGTAAATTAAGGCAATATAGAGGCATACGCACAGTATGCACATATGCCAATAAGAGACTGATCAATTTCAGTCCTAAAAACATCAATGGGAAGATTCAAGTAAAACAATATCAAGTGAATTAAACGTAAATTAGAGATTATTATACATTTATTTACACATCCTAGCTCTATTACTTAGGATTAATACCACTTTGTTGATTGATTTCTTCATTTTGATGGGTAATGTTAGGAACTCAATGTTAAACATTTGAATACTGTTACCAAAATATTTCAAAACTTTATTCTTTTTTTCACTGACGTTCATGATCATTATCCTGTTAAAATGTTAGCATAAGTTTTCAAAGAATTCTTCATTAATAGCTAATAAGAATAAGCCTGAAACCTTTGTTAGGAATTTTTTCAACTTACATCAATATTGGGAAGTATATTTTTCAAATAACAGAATATATTACACTTTCATAATTGTTCCAATAACTTAAGATCTTGAATAAGTAATCAGTCAGTCAGTCTTGCTTGCTGTTAGAGGTATAAGGGCGGTTATCACTTTCTGATTGCCCACACCGTGGAAGGTTTCTTATGGAGGTACCTGAAAAGGAAATTGGATTAGAGGTGGTCTTTATGACCTGAGAGCGTGACTGCAGTGCCCAAGAGACAACTGCTTGAGGTCTGTCACATACGACCTTTTATGGGTTATTTTTGTGTTATCTCCGTACTTATTGAGACCTTACCACCAGAGACGGATATCTGTGGGATAAGGCAAAGTGTGCATTTCTAGGGTCGATCTTTTCTAACCCCACCCCTCCTTGTGGGAAGGCAGCATTGCTGTCAAGCTGGTTGTCTGAAGGAAACACCTTACTGCTGTCAGCAGTTCGACTTCGCCTTCAGACCTTGGGTTTGCTGCTTTTAGTCTTACCGTTCTTCAACCGATCCGTCTGGTATGGCAGGACCTTGAGGAACGATTGTCGTAGCCAGTATAGCTTGATTGGTTCATGACGATAGGCAAGCCCGGTCACCACGTCAAGGTAGCAGCCATGGTCAGGTGAATAATTAATGATCTTTATTCGAAGATTTCATACAGTTGGTCGTCTTTACAAATTTGAATCAACCCTCAATTGTTGTTTTAGCTTTATTCAAATTATTATTGCTTCATAATAATCTAACACAGAACTAATCACTTTTCCTATTAGAAAAGTAGTGTTGGATAGAGCTAGTCAGCGGCTGAAAACTGTATTACAATGAAAATTAAGTCTTCGTTGTAGGCTAAGCCTACTACTATAACTATCATCAAAAAATTACAGATATTTATGAACAGTTGTCTACGCAAGATACTCTCTATATGATCGGAGAGGGGGTTTTGTAAATATTATAGTAGTTTAATAGTTGAATTCACGAGCCAATTGAAGCTAGACCATCACGGAAAACCTGGAAGCAGTGGACGTAGTCCCACACTAGGACGAACTGGCCGTCCAATGCTCTCAGGTTTTCCATGGTGTTCTAACTTCAATTGACTCATGAATTCAACTATTAAAATTTTCTTTATACGTTGGCTGGATATAATCAGCAACAACTTACTGTGAAAGAGAATAAACCAACTTTCAGCTGAATGGGAAATTAAGAAAAGATGCTAAAGGTGGATAAGATATACTTTGCCGGAATTATCAAACTCCATGAAATATCAGGCCCTAACGTAAAATCCCCGAGGCGAAAGGAAAAGAGGCAAACCTCAACACATACTGAGCCAGGAATTGAAGGAAGAAATCAAAAGAATGAATAGGTCTTAGAAACAACTGAAAATAAGAACCCAAGACAAAGTAGATTGAAGAGTTATCAGTATAGGATTTGTGGAGATTATTAAGTTTTTGATTGAGATCATGAACTGATTGATGTTAGATCACCATTGAAAACCTGGAAACATTGGACGGCCGTTTCGTCCTAGTATGGGACTCCTCATCAGTGCTCATCCACGATCCGAGAACCTATCAATCTCGCACGCGAACGCTTAAACTCTAGACCACTGAGTCAGCATCCAAAGGTGTTAATGTCTAACATCAATCAATCTACGACATTGCGTAACCATCTTCTACTGTACTGAGGTAGATACCTGTCTCTACCGGACATGGATTAGCTCCATTAGATTAGAAAGATCTGGTCGGCAACCTATGCTCCTCCACGAAAGGTAACAGAAGTAAGCAAGTTAGGAACACTTATGCCTAATAAAACAAAAAAGCTTAAATTTTCTTGTCTTATTTATTTTCTTTTTTTGTAATATTAATTTTATTTTTTTTTTATTAGGCCTATCGTCCATGGTTATTTTGGATGAATATTTTCGATGCATTATGGCAAAGTTTAATTATATTTTTTCTATCATATTTTACTTATTCGGACGATAATATTGGTTTATGGGAATTTGGATTATTTCAAACAAATGCAACAATTCTATGTACATTATTTCATTCATTAATAATCACTAGGACATTGGTAATTGATTGTTTGTTTGTTTGTTTGTTTTTTAAATAACTTTTATAACAGATTCACTTGGTATTGTTTTAACTTGAATCTTTCCATTGATGATTAAGACTGTAATTGATGAGACTCTTGTTAGTATATGTTCATCCAGTGTGGATTGTCTAGATATTGTCTTAATTCACAAGCAGTGGAATCCGGTTTAACGCGTTTCATTCTATTTGAGACTCTTCAGCTGGATATACTTGCATATCAGAGTTGATATTCACTCTGGAACTCGAACTCAGTACCGTTCGCTTCAAACGCCATCGCGTTATCCACTTAGCTACTGAGTCCTGATAACCACTTGCTTGTGCAATGGGGTGAAGTTTAATTCACTTGGTATTGTTTTACTTGAATCTTCCCATTGATATTTTTAGGACTGAAATTGATCAGTCTCTTATTGACATATGTGCATACTGTGCGTATGCCTCGATCCACTATCCATCTTTGCTTATAATGCTGGTAAATTAAGGCAATATCGAGGCATACGCACTGTATGCACATATGTCAATAAGAGACTGATTAATTTCAGTCCTAAAAACATCAATGGGAAGATTCAAGTAAAACAATACCAAGTGCATTAGTGTTAAAATAGTTCAATCCTGAGTTGAATAAGCTAGATATAAAGTATTGAATTGCTATTTAAAGACGATAAACCTTTCAATAACGTTGTAGGTATGTCATGTGGCTATGTAAACTTGCATGAAACTTTCACCCACGGTTGCATATTCACTGATATTGGCAATCTGATATTGAACGAATTACACTATGCTGACGTGATATCACGTACTTGTTGAGCGTACCGTCCTTTGTAGGAATCTTGATCTTTTTCAGCAATCCTACGCTCCTGGCTAGTTCATTATTCACTGAATCATTAACAAAGTAATTTGTTTGGTGTTTTACAAGTGACAATGGATTAAAAATCGATTTGTGTTATTATTATGTACAAATCAAATAGAGTTTGATACGTTTCACAGTTATTTCCATTATGATGACAAAAGTTGATTCTTCCTATTCATTATACACATCTTGAGCATAATATAAATGTATTTCTACAAGCTTTTCATTTGATATAAGATAATAGTTTTCGCAAAAAGAACTGTAGTTACTGATAATTCTTGTGGATTGAACGCTATATTCGTTTCCTAAGCTATTCTGTAACCTCCAAGCTAGAACTATACAGCGACCTGAACACAAGAGAGAAGACGCAAAGTATGCGAGTAGTTTACTCCAAGGTTCACTTTAACACAGAAAATATAAGGTTTTTATAATATTTTTAGATGTCCTTGGGTTGCTCGAAGATTCTGGAATGCTACTAAACATAATAGCAGTGTAGCAATCAGTCAATCAGAACCTCTGCATGTGACGTTCCGCCCCCCTTGATATTTTTGGCTAAAACTTCAAATGAACTCTGATTGATGGAAACGCTTCTTAGTGTTTCCTAATCCTTGCTTGTCTTATGCGAGAAATTAGCCGAATCACCCCAACAGTTACATCAACTTTACTATGAATAAGTAACATCGTTGTAATGACTTTTTTTCGCTTATGCTCATTAACAATGAGTTGATTTACTCAATTACTGAATATACTAAACGAGTAGGAAGCTATACAAAACCATTTGTTCTTAATCTTCCAATCAGAATACGGTTTACTGATATTTATAAACATTCAAAGATATATCAACGTTAAAGGAGTGAAATAGAAAAAGTTTACAATTACAGCAACAAAAATTAATATTGTGAATGAATTAATATCACATGGGTTTTGTGGAATATTATAATAATTTCAATGGTTAAGATCACAAGTCAATTGAAGCTAGACCACCATGGAAAACCTGGAAGCACTGGACGGTCGTTTCGTCCTATTGTGGAACTCCTCAGCAGTGCGCATCCACGACCTCGCCCCCTGCTAGATTCGAACCCAGGACTTACTGGTTTCGCGCTTGAGCACCTAACAACTAGACCACTGAGCCGGCATCCAACGGTGTTAATGTCTAACTTCAACTAATCCACGAAATTTAGTGACATATCCACCATTGTTTTCTGTGAGTTACTATCTCACAAAAGACCTGATTGAACTCCACTGATCACTACTTCTCACTAGAACTCCAGGATATACTGTATATATATTGTTTGTAGAATTCCTGACCAAAATAACATTTGAAAATTCTGTTATACTTTCTGTAGATGCTTATTAAGTGATTGTATGGCGAACGAGAACACAAGCGGGGATAACTATATGTATTTGAACACAACTTTATAGAACATCTTAGTAAAATTTAAGAATAAAACAGTTAATCCTTCATTTGCAAAATATCAATCAATCGTCTCAAACTTCATTGTTCCTGCATTTCCATACCAATCATTCTCTGTTCTTGTTCTTTCTTATTTGATCTTCGTTAAACATCTACCACCAGACATTTCACTTTCGATTGATGATACATACTACTTATATTTGTCGACATCAGCAGCACACACCAAGATTGGATATAACAAATAAAATTGAATGATCATCAATTGTTCAATAACTTCTATCTTCATTTATAATGAGGTGACTTTTTAAATTTTATATTGTTATAGCTTATCAATCTCTAGCTAAGCCACTAATCAGAATCCTGATTTCTATGGCGTGGTGTCTAATCCGCATCAGTGACCTTGAGTCAATTGCTAAGTTCTTATTAGCCCACAATTCTATATCTTTCCTCTATCTTACTCTTTAATCCAAAAGTTAGTAACTAACCTCTACTATATTATATTTCAAACAGATGCAGTTTATTTACCGACATATCAAACCATATCACAACAATTATACAACATGATCAAATCGAAAAAGTGGCCATGACTAGAACAGACTTTATAATAATAAACTGGCAACAGATTAAGAATAGTAAATCACATATTAATTAATGGATCAAGATTTGAAGATCAACTTGATTTTTGGTTATTTAGTCACTTCATTATTTTATCAAGTAATATATGCTTTTATAAAAGAACTAATTATAAGCTGTACTACTGTGTGGTGTGCTACTTATATTGATATAAGTAGTATATGACGCGAGTTAAAAACGTAATGTCTGGCAGCAGAACATGAGGGGAAGATCAAGAAAGAAAGAACGGGAACACAATGCAATTTGTAAGGAAACGCATGAACAATGAAATGTGAGACAATGGATTGATGTTTGCAACAAGAACAGTCCAGGTTGATATGATGGATTGATATTTTGCAAATTAACGATTTGCTATATGGTTTTTCTATTTTACCGAGTAACTCTGTACTTTAATGCTAAATACAATCCTTTGGCCTTGCCCGTGTTCCTGTTCACTACTACACTACTACTTCTACTAATGTACAAAGTACTATTCCATATGGAATGTTTTATTATTAAAAGAATATAAGGACGGTTGTATACACTTGAATCTAACAGCCTTTCTTTTTTTCTTTTTTTTTCTCTCTTTGTTATTAGGTTATATTACATGCAGTTAGCTTTTTTGTTAGTTATATTCTATCATATTTAATATTTACAATGATCTATCATACATTTGCTGTTACTGTTGTTCCACCTGAATGTCCTTATCGAATTATATTTCGAGTAATGAATGATATCAAGTTTTGGTTATTAACATTGGTTACTATTATTTTGGCATTATTACCCAGGTGAAGTAAATAATATTGTTAAATATATATTGAAAATAGATATATATTTTTTAAATTGAATAGTTGAATTCATGAATCACTTGAAGCTAGAATACCATGGAAAACATGGAAACACTGGATAGCCATTGCATCCTAGTGTAGGACTCTTTAGTTGGTTGAAGTTAGACATTAACATCTTTGGATACCAGCTTAGCGGTCTAGAGGTTAAGCATTCGCGCGTGAGACCGATAGGTTCTGGGTTTGAATCTCATTTGAGGCGGAATCATGGATGAGCACTGCTGAGAAATCTCATACTAAGACGAAACGGCCGTCCAGTGCATCCGGGTTTTCCATGGTGATCTAGCTTAAATTGACTCATGAATCCGACTATAAAATAATTAAAAATATTAGAAGTATTATTGTTTAGTTTATTGAGTATGAAAACCTTGTGTGTGTGTGTGTGTGTGTGTGTGTGTGTGTGTGTGTGTGTGTGTGTGTGTGTGGTTATTGGACATTGAGGTCAAGTATGAACTATTGATTTGTTAACGCCTATGTGTTGTACAAGTTGTTAGTTTATACTTTTTTCAAGTCTAATTACTTGACCTTGTAGATAATTTTGAAAAATATTTCTAATAGTGCAGTGTAATCATTAAAATACTCACATTTGTTCTATCTTTTGATAAAGATACATATATATATATTTGATTTTCATACTGTAAAATAGGACAGCATATATAAGTGAACAATACTGTTTTCAATTAAATTCTCATCAGGCTTTCCTTTAATATATTTATCGTTACTATAGAGGATTCAAGGAGACAGTTATCCACCATAGGTAATGGATAAGGGTTGGGAAATATTACGGATTGGTTGAAGTTAGACATTAATACCTTTGAATGCCAATTCAGTAATCTAAAGGTTCGGCATTCTCGGGTGAGACCAAAGATCTTAGATTTGATTCCGTTGTGTAAGATCGTGGATCATCTACACTGCTGAGGTGTCCTATGCTGAAACGAAATGGCTGTTCAATGCGTTCAGGTTTTCAATAGTGATCTAGCTAAGATTAGTTCATGAATTAAACTGTGAAAATATTCACTTATTAAGTGTTCCTATTTAAACATTAAAAATACAAGCTGAACGAAGAAATATTTCCTTTCTAGTCAGTTTCTCCTCAAGTTATATATATATATATAATACAGTTATATAACATACCCTTGTAGGCCGGGGTAATTTTACACTGGTTTTCAGGAGAACCAGACACCATCCAGACTTTCGCTTCACAACCCAAACACTACAGCTCAATCCCGTTTAACAAGAGTGCGCATCCACGGCTCCGCCTCACGGGATTCGAACCCAGGACCTATCAGTCTCGCGCCAGGCGCCTAACTAGCTAGATCACCATTGTCATCAGTGAGTTACTACCTCATCACTGACCCGGTTGAACTCCGCTGATCATTGCTTCTCACTAGAACTCTAGGATATAGATATCTTGATGCCAGTCACTAGTGAGCATATATTGATTAATATCAGATTCTGATGGATACATTCATTTTTTATGTATTATTTTGTTGGTTTTTTTTAATTATTTATTTATAGATTACTTATAATTATCATTAAAAATACTTTCTATCCAAATATGGATACTATTGGTAATTTACTTGCAAAATATTTAGGTCGTGGTAAACATTTACCATTAGAACCATATTTATTACATATACCATATTCATTAATGATGAGAAATCGATTTTCTATACAATCAACAATCAATCATTTATCATCTTGTATATCTGAAATCAATTTAAATAATCAATTAATCAATAAATCTTATAAAAATAATAATTTAATGGAATATAATTCATCATTAAGTCATATATCTTCATCATCATTATCATCATCAGATATTCAATCAAATTTAATTAAATTAAATGAAACACCAATACATTTAATAAAACATTTACATCAATTACTGAATGTGAGTAGTCAATTAATGAGAGGTGTACAACCTATTCATCATTTATATGTTGAAGACATTTCAAAGAATTCAATAGGAATAGATCATCTTCATCAGCAACAGCATCAACATCATCATCGTCAACGATCTAGTACTATACCTAGAATTATAACAGATTATAATAATTGTCAATATGATCAAAATGATATACATAAACGTCATCATCATCATCATCGACATTATCATACATTTAATGGTAGATTATTAATAAAACAACAAAATAAAACTGATTTTGATGATGAAACTAATGATAAAGATTTTGATAAATCAAAATTATCTTCTATTTGGCCAGCAATTAATCCTAATAATAGAATAAGTAATAGTATTCAAGCTTCAAATAGTTCAATGAATATTGATCTTTCAAGTAAGAATTTGTTTTTAAGAAAAAAAAGAAAGTAGCTAAGATTTTAAATTATATGATTGAAATCATTTTTGCTCTCAAATGCTGTGATACGACCGAGAATGGAGAGAGTCAGCTCTCCTTCTTTAAATGCTTTCACATGGTCATATGCATACAACCACTACCAGGGAAGTCTTATTCACTGCCTTCTCGTGAGGACAAACAGGGAATTTTTGGTGCTTTAACGGGGCCGGTGGATATGGTGGATCTACTTAGGGGAGTTGGAAAACCCTGATTCCAAACCAATGGTTTACATTGGTCCCAGGATCCTAACGGAACAAATGGCGTATGAACCAATTATTGATCACCGGCTACTATGGGACTGCATCTCCTGACGTCGCTCCACTGTCTTATGGATCAGATCTTTAGGTCGAAGGCTCCGGGTGTGGCCCCCCTTTAGCTTGGGCATCCGGGCGAAATGTGGTACATATCTATTTGGTGCCTCCTTGTACCAACGTTTGTGACTAAATAAACTGAAATCATTTACTTAACATGTAGTTTACTATTTAAAATACAGGAATGAACGGATGTTCGTACTGAGAAGTGAACCCAAGAAAGTCTAATCCTCAGGTACTTTCTTACTTATCTACGCCTGTTACTCCTCATGGAGGAGCATAGACCGCTCACCAGCACTTTTCATCCAACCCTGTCCTGGGCAATCCTTTCCAGCTCTTTCCAGTTGTTATTCATCCTTTTCATATCTGATTCCGTTTTCCGATGTAATGTGTTTTTTGGCCTTCCTCTTTTCTGCTTCCCATCAGGATTCCAAGTTAAAGCTTCCCTCGTGATGCAGTTTGATGATTTCCTTAATGTATATTCTATCCACTTCCAGTGTCTTTTCTTAATTTCCTCTTTAGCTAGAAGTTGGTTCGTTCTCTCACATAGTAGGCTGTTACTCATCGTATCCGGCCGATGTATGTTGAGTATCTTGTGAAGACAACCATTTATAAATACTTGTACGTTTTTGATAATTATTGTAGTAGTTCTCCAAGTTTCAGTTCCGTACAGTAGAACTGTCTTGACATTGGTATTGAAGATTGTGACTTTGATATTGATTAAAAGTTGTTTTGAGTTTCATATGTTCTTCTTCTTGCTTTTCCAATCCTCGCCTTGACGTCTGCATCTGATCCTCCTTGTTCATCGATAATGCTTCTCAGGTACGTGAAGGATTCCGCATCTTTCGGAGTCTCGCCATCAAATGTGATTGGGTTGGTACTTTCTAGTTTCACCGAACTATTCAGTTATTTCGTGTTAACAAAATGTTTTGTACCAACTACCTGACTTTCTTTAAAAAACGTTTGCACCATTGTCGAGGATGTTATGTTTGTAATAATTTCCTGTTATGTTCACTGTCAATGAGTACACTTACAATCACTATGTGGGTTAACTTCTATTGACTGCACGAAATGCTAATCTATTCTCAAATTCTCAATCAAAACATCAGAAAAATTAACCAAGAATCTTGAATTCTTCAGACCTAAAACCTCATGTGATTATATGCAAAAAACACATTAAAAATAAGAAATCTAGATCTGCACGTTTGTGACACATATTTGAAAGATAAGATTATTATCAGAACGGAGGTTTGTGGAGATTGTAGTAATTTTAATAGTTGAATTCTACTTCATATAATGGATGAACGATTGTGTAAGATCATGGATCGATAAAAGTTAGACATTAACACCATTAAATCCCTGCTCTGTGATCCTGAGGCTAAGCGTTTGCGCGCGAGACCGAAAGTCCTGGGTTCAAGTCCCGCATGCGGGATCATGGATGCACACTGCTGAGGAATCCCATACTAGGGCGAAACAGCTGTCTAATGCTTTCAGGTTTATAATGATGGTCTAGCTTAGATTGACTCATGAATTCAACTATCAAGATAAGATTATAACTAATTAACTAAAGATTAACCAAATCTTAATAGTGTGACTTGTTTCAAGGTAGACATGATTGAAGTTCTATTGGGAATTCTTGTTTTAAATTGTTACCCTAGTTGAAGGTAGATATGGATATATTCTTATATTGCTGAATGGTATTGTGTTAATCAAGAAACTATCTTCTTTTATGCATACTTTTTTGGTACTTTTGCATCATAACTTAACACCACCACCTTATAGGGGGGGAGTAATGCATTCCGTTAATTCATGGGAAATATGTGACTAAACCAATCTAACTATTCAATACACTTTCGATACTTGGTTTATAATGGTTGAAAACGATGTTTTATAGCGCTGTGGAGGTTGTAGAATTTTATAGTTGACATCACAGATTGATCTTAATTAAACAACCATTGAAAACTAAGAATCCCTGGACATATATTTCATCGTTGTATGTGACTCCTAGTGTGATATATGCTACTTATGTCTGTCGACATTAGTATGTAGCATCAATCAGAAGTGGAATTCCTGGAAGCAAAAGGTTGAAAAGATCCAATTAAAGAAGACAGAAATACCAACAGAGAATAGTTGTATTCTACGAAAACATTCTGTAATTTTGTATTAATTAATTGATTGGTTATCCGCAACAAGTCTTTATTTGCTACAGTAGATGTGTACATTTAAGACCTCACTAAACGTCGAACCTAGAACCCTCAGTTCTCGTGTCTTATTTATTTATTTATTTCAACACATAAATATTGGTACAAGAGGGCACCAAATATATATGCGCCACACCATATTTGTGTGTGTGGGCTGTGATACTGCCCGGGTGCCCAGACCGAAGCAGGTGGTTTTCTTAAGGGGCCACACCCCGAGCCTTTGACCTAAAGGTCTGATCCACAAGGCAGTGGAGCATCGTGAGGAGATGCATTCCCATGGTAGCCGGTGACCAACGATTGGTTCATACGCCATTTGTTCCTTCAGGATACTGGAGCCCATGTGCACCATTGGTTTGGGATCCGGTTAAAACGCCGGACATTCGCTTTTCATCCTCTCATTTTCGTAAACAACACCCGTGATGCGAGAAGGCAGTGAGTAGGACTTCCCTGGCAGAGGCTGTATACGCGTGGCCGTGTGAGAGCATTTCGAGAAGGAGAGCAAACCCACCCCACTCTCGGCCATACCAGGGTATCTAGCTAAAGTTAATGCACAATTTGAAGTTTCATATTACTTGCATTTTCCAGTTGATTTAATAATATCAGAAGGGGTTTGTGGAGATTTTTTAGAAATTTTCACAGATTGAAATCATGAGTCAGTTGAAGCTAGACCACCATTGAAAACCTGGAAGCACTGGACGGCCGTTTCGTCCCAGTATGGGACTCCTCAGCAGTGCGCATCCACGATCCCGCACCACGCGGGGCTCGAACCCAGGACCCACTGGCTTCGCGCGCGAGCACTTAACCATTAGACCACTGAGCCGGCATCCAACGGTGTTAATGTCTAACTTCAACCAATCCACGAAGTTGCGCCACCATCCCGCGTGGTGCGGGATCGTGGATGCGCACTGCTGAGGAGTCCCATACTAGGACGAAACGGCCGTCCAGTGCTTCCAGGTTTTCAATGGTGGTCTAGCTTCAACTGACTCATGATTTCAATCTGTGAAAATTTCTAAAAAATCTCCACAAACCCCTTCTGATAATAATCATCTGCTCACTAGTGACTGACTTCAAGAGATACTCCTGGAGTTCTAGTGGGAAGCCGTTACCAGTGGAGTACAACCAGGTCTGTTGTGAGATATCAGCTCACTGAAGACAATGGTATATGGTGGCGCAACTTCGTGGATTGGTTGAAGTTAGACATTAACACCGTTGGATGCCGGCTCAGTGGTCTAATGGTTAAGTGCTCGCGCGCGAAGCCAGTGGGTCCTGGGTTCGAGCCCCGCGTGGTGCGGGATCGTGGGTGCGCACTGCTGAGGAGTCCCATGCTGGGACGAAACGGCCGTCCAGTGCTCCCAGGTTTTCAATGGTGGTCTAGCTTCAACTGACTCATGGTTTCAACCTGTGAAGATTTAATAATAGTAAGACTGTTTTGTATTTATTACTTTCATTAAAAATTAGACACTATATCAGTATCATGAATCCTGATTTCACATGTTTCTTCACTTTCATAGCTATTGGTCATAGGAGTAGAGGATCAAAAAGTCAAAAACAAACACAACAACAACAATACTTCACATATCCTTCAGCTCGATATTCACCTGGACATAGACCGCCTTTATGTCAAAACAGACATTTTCCTTTTGAATTAGATCCAAGAGAATATTCGTCCACTAATCAATCTCAGGAAGAAATTAACGAATCTTAAGAATTATTCACTCAATAGACAATATTTTACAAAAACCTTTGTGCCTCTTTGTTTTTGTTTTTTAGAACTAAACGATTTTAATTAGATTCGGTTTCTTAATTTTTAACACTTTTAATCTGTATGAAATGTTCACTTCTTGTAAATAAATTCCTTCTCTTTTTTCTAAATGGTTAATTCTACTCATTTGCAACTATATATTCGCTAAATTCTTGTGTATTCCTTACACCTTTCGAATTGTTTATCCATTCTATTCACGCAACATTGTACAGATTAATATTATTATAGTGTGTATAGCAATACTATTCATACTGCTTTAGATAATATTCGGAGGATGATATATATGCTAACTAACTAAACTAACAACCATTTGTGTTTGTATCATTGTGTAGTAGGTATACTCAGTCCTAAATCTCTCACCTTTTTTTACAAAAAGGGAAATAAGAATGATAATGCCAATCCACTTGTCAGTTCTTCTAAACGGATCCATATTCAAACTGGGAAGTTGTCGTGATTAGGAAAATTATGACAAATAACCCTGATTCTATTTTCTTGTATAGGTATCATTGAGTGATATTAGTGTGGACAGAATTAGCTTTCTAGTGTTTCTTGATCAGAACTTGTTGTTATTACTGTCTTTACACTGAATATCAGGAGTTTGTGTATCTGTCAATGTCAGAGTAATTTGTTTTCTGTTTATGTAAGGAGTTAGATATTTTAAAGTCTCTTATGCCAAAAATCATAAGGTGCTTAGGAAGCATCTGTATTCAATGATACATACAAATCGGTAAACCTAAGAGCGTCATCTTTACAGCCTTCGAGATGAACTAAAGGATAAGTTTTACAGAAAGCTTTCTCTTCTACCACAGAACGTTAAGCCCCCTCAAGTCTTTATTGTAGCAGGCGATTTTAGCACTCAAGTAGATAGTTTAAATCAGGGTAAAAGATGCCCAGGTGGCTCTTACAGTGTCCTAGCTCGACGAACAGAAAACGGAAACCTTGTACAGCGATTAAACATAGACAAGTTTATTCTTGCCAAGCAATAACTTTTAGAGTAAGGGAAGATATCGACTAACACGATGACCCTCAAGACCGACCCAACTATAGACCCAGATAAACCTTACTTCCATTAGCCATCGTTGGTGGCAGAAGACTCCCATCTACTCTGGGGTACATAATTCGGTTTCGATCATACTCTAGTGCGAGTGTGTTCGTCTGGTTGCAGAAAAACCATGACAAGAATCTCAGGAGTGTATTTCAAGAACTAGAGACAGTCTGTTTATCGAAATGATCCGCTCAACCTGAAAGACTGGGACTATGGGTTGAATACTGAGGGATAGCTTAAGTGGTCTCCAACTACCTTCCTGTTGCCTACTGTTACTAAACAACCTAGTCTGAACAACTGCCCATTCGCGCATGAAGTTGAAAAATCCATAAGATGTCACAACCGGGAAACCACCGGTCCACCATTTACTCCCGGAGACGGTTGTCCGGTTTTAGCAGGTAGACTGACACTACTCAAAACCAGGAAAATAAGCACAATCCCACTCGACTAATCTTGATCGCCTCTATTTACAAGATAAGAATCCCACTGAGATAATCACACAGGAATCAGTTTACCTAATCGTGTCTACAATATTAGCCTCATTAATGACGCAGCGCTCAAATAGGGCTCATAAATAGAACAAAAAAAGTTGATTTTAGACTCAAAAATCGAGACCAAACATTCGCCCTTTCTCAGGTCCTGGAACACAGACATAACCATCGCTAAACAGCCACACCTGTATTTACCGAACCGAAGACGTTTAAGTATTTAGGTCGACAGGTTTTACGTCAATTCCTGTCATTAAAAAGCGTAACAAGAAAGTCCACTAACCTTGTGCATGCTCTACTCGAACACCAGTAATCAAATCAGAGCTCATCGTAAACCGTCATTGGACTTGACGAATTCAATCGGTGTTCGTCAAACTTGTTAATGTTTTCTATCTCAATCCAAGTTTACTGTAAATTTGCTTTTAGAAGTACCACATTTATCATCCATATCAGGAATCGATCTCCTACCAGGAGGTCCACTCGTTGACTCCGAATACACAGACGAGATAGTTCTGGTCGTTACAAGCAACAAAGGGAACAGATCTGGTACGCATTTCTCTCCCTTCAAATGCAAAGTTTTGCTTCAAGACAGGTTTTATGACGAAACCCACTTCCCATTTTGACGCAGAATGATGGGGGTAGAAGGCTGGAATAAGGCTAGGGGTGATTAAGCCTTAGTGTTACATTAATGCATGGAGACAGACTACGGGACTGAGTTATGTCAGTAGGTATAGACTATCTGGTTTTGACCTACGCAATTATTGTAAGCAATGACGCGATTATCTGTCATGGATGTCATCCACATTAATGCATGTAAACTTCTACCATTCAGTTCGGAAGTTCTTATTTCCCTTATATACACCAGTTATCATAACTTCGTATTTCAACCGTATTCGATGCTTTTCTTTTACTATTACCACTGCTAGTACACGGGAATGCGCCCCGATAATTTCATATCACTTGTCTAGTGAGGTGTGATGGTTTGGACCGATTTACAGAAGCGGCAGGCTGTATATAAAACTTGAATATTGGATACGCTTACATCAACGTAAATGTATGACATCGGTCGGAGTAGCACGTAACTATATCACAATAAATCTAAGCGGCGATTATTTAGAAGTGGTGAATCTCAACATTTGGATCAGATGCAACTGGAAATATTGAACTCACTCTTGCAAAATTATAAATTAATCGGTCTCTTTTCCAGTTCATAAGTATTAGGCGACTAGATACTGAAATAAAAAGATGTGATGACGTCAATCGACATATATTAAGTCAAATACTGTTTAAATTACAATTTAGGGCTTTAGTGCTCGCAGATGTAAATAAAAAAACGGTAATTGCTAGGGTGCTTATAGTAATCTATTCTTGATTTAATAATAATACGAAAGCAGTACAACGACTACGTAGTGGAATGTACTGAGCATCATATATGCAACCATTCGGGTAAGATGTTTTTACTCTAAGGCCAAACAATAAACAACTTATCCAATGTCTTTTATTAAGTGGAAAACATTAATGGTAGAAAAAATTAACAAAACACAATCGCACACGAAGATAAGGACTAAAAATAAAGTCAACACAAAAAATTATACACATGAATCATATTTGTTACTGCTAGAGGCATTCTAATATTGAATCTATCCTGTAGATTATATCAGCTTTCTTAGAACATAAATCGTCATTTGAGGACTGATATTGTGGTTTTGTCAACTTGCCAGTGAGGAGTTTTTCTGCCAGTTGGATACCTTCTTGAACTAGATCACGATATTGTTGATCCAAATGGTTGATGTCGTTCAACTAGAAAAATAAATATGACCGTTTTAATTTCTAACTTGAAATCCAGATATAAGAAGTAACTCAATAATATAACTACTGAGTCAACTTTTGGTAAATACTTTTTGTAGAAGGTATGAGCTTGATACATAGAATGTACGGATAAGTCGAAACACCCTACTCCTAATACTTAAACAAAATCAACTGAATAGAAGCAAAATGGGACCTACTTAGTACTTTACGGATGTGGAATAGATAATAAACATTCCTAACTCTATTTGGCGTGATGAGTTCGAGGATGAGACTAGTTGGGAACAGTGAAAGTGGTCAGTGTATGATTTTGTGTCGTGATATGGAAAAAAGCTGTACACGATTGGTATTTGTCGGTCCTTCATGAATTCCTGGTTGGGATCCTAAAGACAGAGTATCACAGTGGTTTCAGATGTTATCAGACATGATTAAGAATAGGAGCCAGAGATGATCCTAATGTAATTTCCTCTTACTCTCTTTATATGAGTAACTTCTTTAACTGAAACGATTCTTTTTGATTGCATTTTTCTTAACCGAACTACACTAATTATTCTTCAATCTCACTCAATTACATATATTAATTGTTTGCGGCTTTTGTACAGATCTTTCTCTATCTCTTTATAATCTCATTTTTTGTGTTGCCCATATATACTTCGGATATCCTTTTGCACCAACATTTGTCTAAATAAGTATCATATGCAGTGAAGATTATGTGTCTGACAAATCTCACCGTTCGTCAGCTTGATTATGTAGTGCATGGACTAATGTAACACAATTTAGTGACTATGTGTCGAATAAATGACCAAACAAAGTGAAAATCCAGTCATACTCCATTACACATTTGAAGTTTGAGTAAGTCAAGTGTTAAACTTTAAGGTAAGAATATTGACTGAAAACAAAAATTTATACTAAGAAGCCTACTTTATCTACTCCATCCGGATATAAATCTCCTATTTTATTCTGAACTGACATCAACTGTTGATTTAGACTTTTATATTCCGCTTCTAATTTACGGCGATCAGTTGTGAATTGTGCGCTATCTTTAGATCCTTTATATTTTGTCAGGGCATCTTCATAACATTGATACAAAGAAGAACGACATCTTAGCAAGGCTTGAGTTTCATCTACTAGCGTTTGTATTCGAAGGCGAAGTTCATTTTTTTCATCCTTCGGTAAAATAGAAAAAGGTTCATTAAAATAAAATTGCATTCAAGATAGTCAAGTAAATATTCAACCAGAAACACTAGATTTCTATACATGTTGAAATTTCAAGGATCACATATTAGTCAGCGGGGAATTTGTGCAGTGAGAAAAACATTCGTGAAGAGTAAGTCCCAACAAATTAAGTAGTAAACCTTGAGAATTGTGACTATCAGATAATCAGTTCCTAACTTACAGATTTGAGAAGTCTGATGGACTTACCAACCCACCAAAATATCTTAGATACATTTAAAGTGCATTTGAGACTCATCTAATAAGCACAAATGGATTTCTATATACCTTTTAGATATAGAAAACAGAACAGGTGTTTATTGGTTTTACTCATAATTCGTAAAAATATTCCTGCGAAAGCGACAACGGGAACATATACCAATAAGGTAGCCAAATTCAGGTTCAGCTAATAGCTGAGAATTATAAAAAAGGCGATGAATAGTGTGTACAACCACAAGTCAACACATGAATACGAAACTATGAATTGCTTTTTGATCAATAGACCATGGCTTTAGGTGATGAATAGTGACAATGGAAAATACTGGCGATCACAGTTTAAATGACGATGAGACAAAATACAGGTACAAAGACAACTAGTCAGTTCAAGAGAACAATGCATAAATTTAATGGTATTGGACCTAAACAAATTGTATTGTTGATCAGTAGGTCTAAACTTCAGTGGTTGACTTATCTTGCTGTTGGGATTTTGTCGGAAATTTGGTTAGTTATAGTTATAACCGCTATATAAGGGCAATCTGCATAGGATGCAAAACCGTTTAATAAAATTGAGTCGCATACTTTTTATCAGGTGTCCATCTGGACTCAGTAACTAAGAGGATAACACGATGAAGTTCGAGGCGAACGCCACTAGATTCGCGTTCAGGAGTGAACATCAACTGTAAAACGCAAGTACATCCAACCGACCAGTCCTAAACAGGGCGAAACGTGCGCCCTGAAGTGCACTGCTAGCATCACTTTATATGTTCCTTAACTTGTTGGAATTTATTGACTTTATCACAACTAACTGCTATGGAGTTTCGGTCTATTTACATAACAGACACACAAGCAATGGAAGCCATCGGAATGTTCAAAACAGTCAGTCAAAACGTAGAACCAGTGAGTATGTACAACTTGCTTAATTTGCTACACCCCATTGGCACAAAGGTGTCAGGCCAAATCACAATAGTAGGGGTATTAAGAGTATCAGTGGTAATAGAGAAGATTGGGCATCGAAAAAATACAAATTGGTAAGGTAAAAACAAAAAATGGGGCATAAGGAATTTAGAATTCGGGAGGACACAAAAAATGGATGCACTTGGGCCATTGCGAACGATTTAGAAACATATCACTCAAGGTCCCTAACCATTTGTTACGATAATCAAGAGGACCCCAACCAGGTAATCTACACCTATGAACATAACTCGGTCCAATTGTCAACGACTTCATGGTCTGATGCTATGTTCTGGTTTGACCGTCCCATACCATCCTATACCAGTAAACACCGCCCGTCGAGGAAGGCGGTGATTGGGCATACTTAACACATGTCTCAACCACAGCTGATGAAGACTTACTAACTCTTCACTAGATTCCCTATCCTTATCTAGTACCCTATTCCTAGTCCAGGCATTATCTACTCCGTGGTCCAAAACACAAGAGCAATGCATCGTAAATGCCTATGATCGAATATCAGTAAACTACGAATATCCTATATCCCCAGTGGCCATGTTTCAGATCTATAAAATAGGACGAAGCAAACTCGTTTTCTGGTTGGAAGACGGATATCTTGCAAAAGCCAATCGAGCTTTCTGAATCCATGCCAAAATCTCGTTAGTCACCAGACCATCAATACTGATGAGACTACCGAGATAAGTGAAGTAGTCGACACGATCAAACTCTTCACTCTTTATCATCAATTCAGGTGATGGTCCAAGTCAATCCCGAAGTAACACTTCACATTTAGACGGAGAGAACCACATCCCAAACATGCTTGAATTGTTGATTGCGGTGGTCAGAAGACTGCATTTTGCCAGCGTCTTCACTAAACAGAACTAAATCATCTGCAAATTTAAACAAGTGGATCTCCACGTAAACGATGTGTTGAGTCTGATCATCTCGGGTTTACTATTTACGAGCTTAAATCAGACATCAGTATTATTGAGACTAATATTTTTTAGTTAAACTGGTTCCTCTATGACTGTCACAAGAGGGTCTTTGTTTTTTATTATAGACTAGTGATTGGCACAAATCGGGTGAGACTGTGTTCAGTTCCCAAATTTTAGCTAAGATTCCAGTTATTCCGGCTGCTAAAAACTGGACTATCAACCTTAATAATCTCAGAAATTAGTCTACTAAGCCCTGTTGCTTTGGATTACTTATAGCCTTTTCAAACTCAATAACAGTTGGAGGATTTACACCAGTCTGCCACTCAGGTTGCTTGGGGATAGCGGGTAACGAAAGCGTGGATGAAGGTTAGTTGAATCAAAGTGTTCTGCCTCCGCTCTTTATTGTGTTCAGAGTTAGACGGGGTTAAGTTTCTGAACATCAGTTAATAGATGCTGCTAAAATCCATTGATTCTTCATAACCCTTCGGTTTAAGTTACTAGTAGATATCACTGCAGTTTTCACTTATGTTTGACTAACTCCTTTAGTTGTTTCTAAAATATATTCCTGACTTTTTATAATTAAGTTGAACTCGAAGGGCTTTTTATGTGTGGACTTTCTACGTCCAGCAAGATGCAGACAAATACGTACTCGAACTATAGCAAAATCTGAGTTTATATATGTGCCGCAGACTAGGTAGTTTTCAATCGAGCCCCTGGCTAGTGGCTATGTGATCTATGAGTCCATCAACGAGTTGTGAGGATAGCCACGTCAGACGCTATTTCTCCTTATGCTTAAAGTTATTTACCAGAAATAGACAGTTATCTGAGCGACAGACAACCATCATTATCTGTTGACTGAGCTACAACACCGGAAGATCCACCCAAGTGACTTTCGGTTTGGTTAATCTTACCTATGTGATTATTAAAATCATCTGCCATTATGACTACGCTAGAGCATCTAGCTTTTTGAAGGTTAGACAGCTCCCCATAGGATTCATTTTTAATTTTATCTGAGCTGCAATCAGTGGTAGCGTAGGCAAAATAGCTCGGATGAGCCACCACTGAGTCAAGGTGACAGCTACGATCGAGAATAATCAAGCGAAATCAACCGAAGTTTCGCGTTGGCTCGATTTTACATTTTGATGAATACTTATCAGATACTTAGCAAGTGGGTTTCATTAAGACAAGGTCGCTGAGACTTGAAAAGTACTTGTGAAGACGTGCTGCCTGTATTTGCTTTATTCTCAATTTTACACAAATGCACTAGTTTGTTTGTGATCTTAAGACGACTAGTCGGGAAAAACACAAGGTATCTCAGACTCTCGTACTTGTTCAATTATTAAATGGATAACCACAACATGGGAGCCAAAAAACTTTCCAAGAAACTTACCTTGTAGATCGAAAAGTCCAAGCGGACATAAATAATTACAGCACCGAATATACATAAGAAAGCTAAAATCAGCATCATAGGTTCTCGGAGGAGCATTGGCAGAAAGAAGCGATAATTCACCTAGGTATTAAAAATATATCATTAGGTTTTTATAAAATGGCTGAATAATTATTGTACAATTAACGACACAGTTCATGCACACCCAAGTTTTTGCTTTGACGCACACGAGATAATTAAGCTCTAATACATTGATTTTGGATAATCCAAGGGTGACTACAAGTAAACTGTCAAGAATTCAAGTCTATAAAATCTGGGGATTGCATTGTACAGTGATATATTGGTTTGAAAATGGTTTTGTAGTAGTCAATGCAGAATCCTTTGACACGTTAGACAATCAGGTATAACTAAGACTAAAACTCAAATTACCAATCTCCATCGCGAGAACGACCCAGGATGTCGACCACACAACACTTCAATTGCTGTCTGGTCGCTATTATGGTGTATACAAATCTTAAGAACACTTATCTAGGTAAATCACTGTTACTTCAAAATACGTCTAGAACAAAAATGAAAATCTCGTCTGAATCACCTAGCACAAACAAAAATACAGCTAAGGTGCAAAGGAAACGATAACAATAATACAGGAACTACGTACATTTGCACTCATTTCACGAGCCACTAAATTCCCTGGTACGTTCGAGTGGGAAGTCAGCTTTCCCTATTCAAATGCTTACATGGTCACGCGTATACAGCTATTGACAGGGAAGTCCTGCTCACTGTTTCCTCGTGGCGGGGGTGTTACTTGGGAAATTAAGAGGACGAAAATCGAACGTCCAGTGCTTTAACCGAGTTGGCTGATACGGAGGAACCACCTAGGGGAGTTGGAAAACCCTGACTCTAAACCAATGGTCCACATGGGCTCCAAGATCCTGAGGGAACAAAAGGCTTACGAACCTATTCTTAGGCACTGGATACTATGGGACTGCATTTCCCTACGTTGCTTCAATGACTTTTAAATTAGACCTTTAGGTCAAAGGCTCGTGGAGTTGCCCCCTAAGGAAACTGCATGTCTCGGTTTGGGTGCTCAAGCAGTACCCCAGAACTCGCACACAAAACATTCGATTTATGGTGAATATATTTGATGCCTTCTTGTACCAATGTTTGTTTAAATAAATAAATAAAAATACTCATTTGGAGAACGTGAATATTCGTGAGAAGAGAACTGTCCTTATACATATAGATATACATACATACACACAAGTTTTTACCTTGAAATCTTGAATGTGTTCATCGACAAGATTTGCAGCTTTGCAGACAATAACGGTTCGGCCTGATGTGTCTAAGTATGTTTTCAAATTTTCAAAATGCTGTTCATGAACTGGAAAAGGTGTTTCGAACTGAATATCGTCAGAAGTCTCGGGAAGAACAATTTTCAGCGTTAAGTTGCGAATGAATTGATCCTTGTAAACACGGTCAATGAACGGCATTACAAGAACAAACTTAGAACCTAGTGAAAGTAATCAGACAATTAGAAGCCAGTTTGAAAGGAGTAATTACATTATTGTGGAGTTATCCACGGAATAAACTGAACTCTAATAACGGACATAATAGCAGATCCAATTGCTTTAATACAATAATATTGATGCGTATATAGATGCAGTTTATTTCTTGGAAAAGACTATTTAGACTGGCAAGCGCAACCACACTTTCATAATGCCCCTAAGAAAACCACTTGCTTCGGTCTGGGTACCCTGGCAGTATTACAGCCCACACACAAATCAGGTGACTTGTGGCGCATATGTATTCGGAGTCTCTTTGTACCAATAGTTGTGCACAAATAATTAATCTACTTCAAATATCTCCATGTGGATTTGATGGACAACTAAGCACTATTTTATAATAACGATGCTGAAACCTACGCATATGAGCAACAAACTTACCACTGTGATAGAGGAACTCATAGGCTGGGATGTTGTATCCTATTGTGTAGCGCGTTTTCCATCCACCCATCAACGGGAAGCGCGGAACGAGAGTCACCTCCACGGAATCTAGCAGGTTTTTGACTGTGCTTGTGCTTATATTGCCAATCTCATCGCGATAGTAAATGTCCTTTGCAGATGGTGGTAGAACTGTCTTAAGGGAGTTGACTGCTACCTGTTGTCCAACTCCATAATCAAAATCCAAACGAGAAAACGAACCACGCAACTTCGCACCCGTGTTCACGATTTCAAGCGTTTCTTCAACAGCAATATTTCCCCAATGCGATACTTCGATGAGACGAGTCATATCAGTGACCGTGAGGAATGGAACGTAATACTCGAAATGTAGGACAAGTGGCTCCTAACAACTTATTATTGATAATAAAAACTCACCGTCGAGAAGGCTGGACGGCTTTCGTAAGTACCATAGACTAAATTATTTCCATTTATGACAGGTGGGATTGACGTAGCAGTGTGAGTTAGAAGTTGACCCTTTGGCAAGTGAATGTACGTTAGCTGATTGTCAGTCAGATACGGGGAATAAAAGTAAGCATTGCCACTAAACTTGACGAACTGCTTATCAGCTTGATAAATCTCAGCAGGTCTTGGTTCTAACAATTCAGTTAATACAATGTCCACAAACAAATGAATTTGTTCGGTCGACGGTTTTCCAAGATCTATAGAGTACGTATAAGGCATGCCGGTTGTTGGCTTTACAGGGACTTTCCGCGATGACTTCAGGTCTCCACACTGAAGTATCAAAGTATGAAAGTAATACTAATTACCGATGCACCGATGAAGGACAGATGTTTCCATTCTCTTTCTTCAATGACAAGTTGGTACTTAGCAGGTGTTTCACTCAGTAGAATATCATGATGTATCTTTACAATGTTTCCTTTAAAGCGTATCGTACGAGTCACATTGGTGTTTTTCAAGCCTAGAACAGGTACTACCAACAACAAGAAAACGAACAGCATCAGTAACTGAGAATTAACACTCAGTGAACAACTGACTGAGGTGGATGCATACAAACGAATATCCAAGATCAAATGTCCAATATTTTAGTGGAGAAAGAATATAAACTAATCGATTGTTTTGAACTCTCACCTCAATACTTAAGTACAGCTCTAAGTACTAAGAAGTGTCTAGCAATCAAAGACAGCAGTTTAGCCGTCAAACTGAACTGATCATATTGAACTCAACCGTTAACGGAAAATAATTATTTTCCGTTTGTGTGTCTTGAGTACGGGTAGATTCGTTTTCCTCATGAAAACAGCGATTATGTAACCAGTGGTCACCATCTAATGCAAACCTGCGAAGGTTAGACCCAAAAACGTTAAGAGTAGCCAAGCGGAATTTCATGGTTTAATGTAGCTAAGGGTTTTGAGGCTATAGCGATAAATAAATAGACAAAATCAGTAGCTCTGTAAGCCTTCCACATTTTGGTGCTGACCGCATTAGTTTAGCTAGACTTACCCAGCTGAATGTGCTTGGCTCCTCATCCTCAACAGAGGATGAGTGGGTACGCCATGCTGCACATCAACAACCGCTAGCCACTTCCCCATATATCGATAGTCTACCTAATATATCTTCCAACTCCTTCAGTCATTATTTCCGATTTGACCATGTTGACACACTTCGATTGTAAAAGTGTTACTGGTTAAAGCTTTCAACAACAAAACAATGACTGACAGATATCCGATACCATACATCCACAACTTTGCTAATGGCATGGAATATGCCACCAATTTTTCGAAGACTGACCTGGTTAGACATTATTATCATATTCCCATCTTCTCATAAGACATATCAAAAACAGCATTAACTATGCCATTCGGTTTGTATAAATTTTGGCTCGCCGGATTGGCTAACGGAGCACAAACGCTTCAGCGATTCATTGACCATGTCATAAAAGGTATGGCAGTATATGCGTATACCGGGGGTTTGCCAGTATCCAAAGCCACGGGGGTGATCAGCTTCCACAACTGAGACAGTTATTCAAGAAACGTCATAAGCGTAACATCTCTATGAGCGTTGAGAAATATGGATTCGGAAGAGAATTCCTCCAATTCACAGGTCAAAAGGTAACTTATCAAGGCACCAGACCAGTTCCCGCAGAATTTACTGCTATCCGCGACTATCCGTTACAGACATTTTAGAACTCCAGGTGAGCTATAAACGAAAAGATGATGCTGGTTCGGTGAAAGAAAAAAACGCCACTAGCCATCATAACTGGTGCATCGATCGTGGCAGTGACAGCCGTATTTCAGCCTTTAGTATATAGCACACCGGAACCACTTTCATTTTTCTCAAAGAGACTGAATCCTACGTGGACGAGAAATGGTAAGTTCAAAAGAGAATTGCCAGCGATTTACATGTCAATAAAGCATTTCCGACAAACGGTGGAAGGTGCAATCTTTATTGTGTACACATATAAACCTGTTGTGAAAGTATTAAATGCCAATCAAGACAATTATTCACCAAGGGAAATTTGATATAGAATCTTCTAGTTTGTTCAGTGTAAAATATGTTAAAGACGATGATAACAAAATATAGGCCACGTTTCCTAGAAAACGATAAACGCACCCACTCCAGACGGAATCGTCTGTCACACTCTAGCTGAACTGCAAAAAGGCGGATGTTGAATTAAGGTTAAGATCCAGTAATAAAACTTCTTTGTTGTTTGCAGACGTTCAGTTAAGTATAGTGAAAGTTAAAACACGAAGTTCAGCGAGGGGATCTCTTTTCAACAAATCTACATGTGATATGTCTATAGGCCGTCGACGGCCGATAATCTCGTGTTGAATAATACGAAAAATCTCGTAATATATGAATAATATATTGCATCCTGAAATATAAATCGTAATCAGACTTTTCGACAAACGTTTCGTATGGCTCAACATGAGTCGTAATGTAATGTAATGTAATCGGACACAGTCATCAATGAAATGTCAAAACCGATCGTCCTGTGATAGGTTTTCCCATCACCCCGACACTAAATTTGAACATAAACACATACATACAAATTCGAATGGCTAAAACTGTATTTTCACCTGCATCGGTAGATTTAAGCAGTGGCTTGTAGCAGTATCAATAAAGGACACCCAGGCTGGGACTGTAGCTAAAACCTTAGTTGGCAGTTGGGTCTTTCGTTATGGAGTGCCAGCAAATACTACAACAGATAGATGAGCTCGAATCAAAAGTTCCCTATTCCGGCAGCTCACAGAACTTATCGTTATATTACCACCTCATGGCGAATGTTATGGTTAAGCGACTGTGTCGGTTGTAGCGGTAAATAAATCCCCAAAATAAATAGCACTAAGTTTTCGACATTGGATGCTGACCATATGTTTTAGTGGACTCATCTAGCTGAAGGCGCTCGGTCAGGCATCCGCACCAGATCACGTGTGGTAACGCCGTGCTCAACATCAACCGCAATCGCTAACCAGATTAGATCAGAGAATTCCGATATATTGGTCATCGCCAAATATACTCTTCCGATCTCCTCGACTCTGTCTTTTGATTTCTCTGGGCGGGAACGAAATATATTAGAAGGTGTTACTGGTAGAAGCGTTGTCAAACACTGAATACCTGTGACATCATCATTGGTGAAACCGACGTGATCTGGTACACCTAATTGCAACTGTGAGTCTGTTCCTTTTTGGGATTTTTATTTATCATTGCCTTATTTTTTTAACTTTTTTAAACATTGTGATTTTTTTCGTGTTTTTTCCTGGATATATATATTTTCCCCTTGTTCATTATCGTACTTCATACTTCATCATGACTGAACAGACACCTAAGGTACTCAAGCTTAAGACTTTGTCCCCGCCTTCGTTTCAACTGATGCCTTTCTGGCCCGACAACATCGAAGCCTGGTTTTGCTACGCAGAAGCCGACTTCTCCGAGCACGGCGTTATCGACACACGTGCGCAATTCCTCGCAGTAGTCAAGGCACTACCGCGCGAATTCAACAGGTACGTAACACCTAGTATGTTTACTAGTGATGTTTCCGATCCTTACGAAATCTTAAAACGCTCGATTCTTAAACGAGGAGACCTAACCGATCGACAAAGGTTAGATCAACTCTTCAACAATATCGACCTGCAACACGGTTCTGCGACGGACATGTTGCAACGGATGAGAGAGGTAATAGGCCCAAGAACTTTCGACGAAGGCCTATTCAAACAACTCTTCTTGTCAAAACTTCCCCAACAGGTGCAAGCAGTTCTGGTCTCGTTCCAGAACAACGCCTTAGACGAACTAGCTGCATCTGCCGACCACATTTTAGAAATTACGAAATCTACTACCGAGGTATTTTCAGTCAAAGAAAAACCTCAAACGACTCAGAATGATATAAACGACTTATGTCACACACTCACGCGTTATCTTAGTCTTCGTACCGACCGTAAGAGATCGCGCACACGACGTAGAAGCATTTCTCGTAAGCGATCTGTCTCTAGACCACGAGAGACAGATAACCCCGACTGGTGCTGGTATCATAACCAGTATGGAAAGTTTTCCAGAAATTGCAGAAAACCCTGCAATTTTCCCAACACGAAACCGACTGATTCGAAAAGCAATTCGGGAAACTTCCAAGCCGGCACGCGTTAACGGCAACCGTAGCCGGCGAACAAAGCCGTCTGTTATTCGTCACAGATGTGACAACGAGGGTTCGCTACCTCGTCGACACTGGCGCAGAAGTTAGCGTTCTCTCAGCAAATCCTAACGACCGACTACACGAATCGACCCTAAACTTACAGGCGGCAAACGGAAAACCGATCGCTACGTATGGCAAAAGGTACGTTTACCTTAACGTGGGTTTACGCAAACCCATCCACTGGATTTTCGTTATTGCAGATGTTTCTATGCCAATCATTGGTATGGACCTTCTACAACACCACAATCTGATCATCGACACTCGCAAACGGAGGCTAGTAGACGGAAACACTAATTTATCCGTTTGCGTAACTTCTTTTACTGGTTGTAGAGTATCCCCAGTCACAGTTAAACATATGATAGACCCACTCTATCAACCACTACTCGATAAGTACCCTAGGATACAACAAACTCAACCGAAACTACCGTGTGTAACCAGCAATGTTACACATCACATCACGACTACAGGACCACCTGTATTCTCTAAAGCACGACGACTAGCTCCTGAAAAGCTAAGGTTAGCGAAAAACGAATTCGATCACATGATGGACTTAGGAATCATACGACCGTCAAGTAGCCCATATGCATCTCCGTTGTACATGGTCCCTAAAAAGGACAGCAACGATTGGCGTCCAACTGGTGACTATCGGCGATTGAACGCGAAAACCATTCCCGATCGTTACCCGTTGCCTCACATTCACGATTTGACAGCTACCTTGAAAGGTACAACTGTCTTTTCGAAAATCGACTTGGTTAAAGCGTATAACCAAATCCCTATGGCTACTGACGACATACCGAAAACAGCTATCATAACTCCTTTCGGACTCTATGAATTTTTGCGAATGCCTTTCGGTCTAAGGAATGCTGCGCAAACATTCCAAAGATTCATAGACGACGTTTTTCGAGGTCTCAACTTCGTACACGCGTATGTTGACGACTGCCTAATCGCAAGTCCGGACAGAGAAACACATCTCAAGCATCTGGATCTTGTTTTCGAACGACTTCAAAAACATGGCATAACTGTAAACGTTCAGAAATGCCAATTCGGAACCGACTCGTTAGACTTCCTAGGACACACTATCGATGCTCAAGGCATTCGACCTCTTAGGACCAAAGTGGCGGCCATTCTGGATTACCCAGAACCGACCACCGTCAAGCAATTACGCACGTTTAACGGCCTGGTAAGTTTCTATAGACGTTTCATACCGAAATGCGCATTACTTATGAAACCTCTGACCGACCAACTTCGTGGAAATGCGAAATCCATTAATTTGGACGACACCGCACGAAAAGCATTCTCCACAGTTAAGGAACTGATTGCTAAAGCAACAATGCTCGCACATCAGGACACCCGAGCACCCATTAGCATCGCAGTAGACGCATCCGACTCG